GGTAATGTATGATTAGAAGCTCTTCGTTTTGTTAACCATATGCGAAATTTTGATGGGAGATCTAAAAGATAAGGTTCTAAAGTGAGTGAGGTTTTATATAAATGATAGTATTTCCCTTTAGTAGAATTTTGAGCATCGGCATACCATGATTGTTTGAACTGGTCAATTAATGAAATTTTGACATGATGTTTCAGCCAGTAAATGTTAGGGAACTTTTGAGCTTGCCAAATATAGGAGAGCCCGACGTTATGAAGAATAGTTTGGACTGCTATTAGTTGGTCGACATCAGTGATGATCTAAATTTCATATTGTTATAGAGAATGTGGGGAAATTTACTAGTTTCAGCTGTAACTTTACACCAGTAGCTGATGATTTTAACTTTTATGTGAACATCAATAAGATATCTGCCCAATTCACCATAAACCATAAAGTTTGGAGTAGATTGTTTTACTTTAAGAATATATTTACAAAACTGTAAGTGCGTTTTTCCCAAGATGATTGATTTTTCATAGCGCCACACTTCTGCCTGTGGAAGTATGCTGGCTGGCAGTGTTGCTCAGTAATTGGTGACATGCCCTGTCGAACACCGGAGTGGACACCGAAGGTGTCTATAAAACTGTTATTCTGAAGTATTCACATACATGTTGCTCAGTGATTGGTAATTTGATTGACTACTGGTGAATAGTGATTAACTTTTAATAATAAATAATAAACTGTTTTATTTTCAGACCCCTGTCTAACACCAGTGTTACTTGAAAATAGGGGTGACGTGACATTGTTAAGTTAAACACATGATTTGATTTGTTGATACATGTTATGAATAGCTATTAAACATTTATTACTTACATTAGCCCTGATCAATTTCATCCAAAACCCATTTCTCCAAACAGTGTCAAAAGCTTTGCCAAAAGCCAGACACAAGGAGCAGGTCATTTTATGCTCTGGTGGTGGGAGTTAGCATGGACACTGAACATTTTCTTTTTTTCAGCTACAGCTGCAAAACTATACATTCTCCGATATGTCTCTTTTAATAAGAAAAAGTATGAGTCCCAATAGTTTTATCGTTAAAAAAACAATAAGTATTTGTGGCAGACAGTTTCTCTGTATTTTAGCAATATGTTTATCGATAACAGTCCAGCCCTTCGAATATCAAATAGACGACCCTTTATTGTCAAAGCAAGTGTAGGCATCCAGGTGAAAGCTATACAGGTGGGTTGTGGGATAAACAAGCAGATATATCAATACAGAGCGGTGTCAGTTGAGTGCGCATGCACCTCAGTCTAAGTAAACCTAGACTCAGTATTATTCGTTACACTGCTATACTGATTCTAACAAAACCTAGTGGAAGGTCGCGTCAGCTAATCTTTTGGACTGACCAATCAGAACACAGCTTACCAAATCGCGAAAGTTAACATTCACACATACCGTTTGAACCTTTACCTAAAAGATTCGAATGATTCTGAATGCTTATATTTATGTCAATATTCAAGGATGTCATCTTGCGAAAATATAAGCAAATATACTGAGTCAAAAAAGAAACTTCACAAAATGTAATTTGAAAAATAATGAATAATTTTTCTCTGATGATACATCTATGTATCCGAAATGGGATCCTTATCTTTCGACTCTAGAAAAACGTTAGCAAAACCCACTCAAACCCATCCATTCCTCGTGCAAATGACGTTAGTGCCAAATCAGGTTTTGCACGTGAAGTCGATCACGTGATCTTCGCATCGAAGTTTTCTTCATATGCACGTGTTTGCATTGGCCTAAAGAATTGAAAAAACACTTTTAAACCACAGTTCTAACGGTACTTGAAATGCCACGATTGTCAAATGTGCAACGTGAACGTGCCGTTGGCATGTTGCAAGCGGGTAGATCAGTTATTGACGTCGCAAGAGCAATGGGATGCAGCCTTCGTACTGTGTATGACTTGCGAGGTCGTCTACAACAAACTGGCACCACTTCTGATCGCCCAAGGTCGGGTCGTCCACGTGTGACACCTACGTGACAGATTTCGGCCGGCTACACGAACCAGGGCTGAGATGTTTAGAGGTCGACTGTCCTCACAGACCATTCGAAATCGGTTGCGGGCTACCAATCTTCATTCTCGACGTCCATATTGTGACTTGACATTCTGTATACCCATGTTTTGGAACGGCGGTGTAGCCTAATCGAACTGATTATGGCACTGTCAGTGTATCGAGTACATCACACAGATCTCAGCAATGAAATAATAACAATTTCACCATCTTACCATCTCTTGTTCTTTTTATAGTGCCCTGTAGAAAGTATTTGAAGTTTCTTTTTTTGTCTCAGTATAGTAACCATGTCATTAGATAGATTAGTGTTGGCGACCAGGGAAGAGAAAATCCAAAAACCGTTTTGTAAGTCCCGCCGAACCCTAACAGGTAGTCGTTGTCTGATTGGTTAAATCCGTTCGGCCGTCTCGCGTTTGACTGGACGGTCATAGGTCGCTCAAAGGTCAGCTGACGCGACCTTCTACTAGGTTTTGTTAAACTCAGTATAGTAGCGTAATGAATAATACTTAGCCTAAGTTTACTTAGACTGGCATGCACCTACACCCATTTGGATGTAATATTCCCGGACCTGAAAAGCTTCACATGCCATCATTCAACCTATACTTAAAAGGTAATTATGCTCCTTATGTGACGTTCAGCATTGAAGAGAGCATGTTGTAAGCTATTAAATAGCTCCAGCACAGATTCAACGGGACACTGAACATCAAATATGTGATTAGTCAGCCTCTATCACTCATTACAAGCATGAGCTCATCAGTCCGTGAAATACTTGAGTCGTTGGGCAACACGCTTTGATGTGAATACACATTGCCATTTAGATTTAGAAAGTGGTGAAATGTAACTTATGTTACACTATGTTGTAGTACTTTTGCTAGGTTGAGTCCCATCTGGGATTCGAACCCACACTTTCAGTCAGGCACCAGCACACAAGGTCAGCCATCTGAACCACCGAGGTGACTGAGTGGGTTAGATTGCTGACTTTAATTTGGGTGAGGGCGATTCTTCGAATCACGGAAGGGACTCAACCTAACAAAAGTACTAGAATATGTACTTTACTGAGTCCCAAGTGTTGTCCCAAATATAACACAAGTTAAGTTATCGTCCATCCTCTGCCCACATATTTACTTATTGAAGTATTGCCTCGTACACTCCAGCGTTGTTATCTGACAACACACGCCCTGTGTCAGTGGGAGAGGGCAGCGTCTGCCACTTTGAGGGCAGGACTGATTTGCAGGGCCAATATAATGATAAACCAACCAGTCATATATCTAATGGAGAGGTTGGCTAAGGCGAAAGGTTGATCCGCCTAAAGATATCGATTACACATTTCTTCGATTTATTCGGTATGAAGGCAACTGTTTTCAAAGATATATACAGTCAAGTAAATGTGGTGGCGGTGAAGGGACTTCGATTCGTATTATCGCTCTTTCGTCCCGAAATCGAAGGCGAAAAAGTGATAGCACAGGACGAGAAAGTGACAGTTTGTATTTACTTTCTCCCCCCATCCATCCCTATTCTCTCTGTGTCTTTCTCTCCCCTCTCTCTCTCGTGAGATTTCTTTTCCATAGAGGCTGATAATTTTTACCTCTGAGGGGGATGTTGAAATTTTCTCACTGTTTTATGCGAGTGATTTATGTTAAACAATGCCAGGATTTCAGTGAAAACTACGGCCTCAGTGAAGTGTTCAGTGGAACCATCACGACGTCAGCGAGTGGCGGGTCTTGTCTTTATCTCAGAATAAATCAGGTTAAAATCTAAATATGTGCCACTCCTAAAAGAAAAACGAGCACCCCTTTTTAGCAACCTGCAGTCTACCAATTGCAGGTATTTTGTGAACCCAAAAAATGGCATGCTATGTTACACGGCCATAATGATGTTGTCCGTAAACATACCTTTTGTCATTTGAGTTATGATCATTTTGTATGGTGTCTCTTGACGAGTACAAATCTACTGGTATATGTACTAGCATGTGGGACACGCAGCTTGATGAATGTCAGTGTGACAATGGTGTTGATATGAGTAAACCACACATGGAGAGTCATCCTAACTGATCTGGCCACACCGTTAACGTTGATGATAAGAGTATTAGTAGGATGATAACCGACAAGTATAAGTGTGACCTTATCAAATATAGGTATATGAATTAGTTACTTTAGTTTTACGCCGCTTTTAGCAATATTACAGCAATATCACCTCGGGAGACACCAGAAATTGGCTGCACACATTGTGCCCATGTGGGGAGTGAACGCTTTAACCACTTGGCTATAACATCACCCCACCCCCCACCCCATACACAGTATGTATGTGTGTGTGTGTGTCTGTGTGTGTGTGTGTGGATGGATGGATATGTTTGCGTGCGAGCGTGTATGTTGTGTTTGGTGCCCGTCTGTCTGTAATCTCTGTATGTGTGTGTACATGTATATTGTATGTATACTGTACAGTACATAGGATAGGGGAACCTGAATTTACAATTAGGATAGGAAGTATAAGCGTCAACAAACCATTTCTCTATCACCACCCCTAAGCACAACGCATGGGATGCACGTGCACAACGCAGAAGCCCCATACACGTGCATGTGGTGTCATTCTTGATTTTGACGGTTTTCAAGGAGGTCGACAATCACCGTGCATCACACAGTTGTTAGTGTTTGTTTCTAGCCGTTTTTGCTTTGTTGTTGTTGTTTTGGGGGAGTTGTTTTAACTGAAAATCGTACACATGCAAATGTCACGTCATACACCAATCATCTTTCAAGAGCGATTACTGTACAAACAACTATGGTCATAAGGAAGTGCAAGTGGTGATGCGCTCACAAAACATTCATTATTATCAAATCATCATTGATTGACTCCGATATATCACCCATTTTTTTCAATCGTGAATTAAAAATGAAGTTCCCCTTCTTTTTTTGTAAGAGTATATTAACACGCTGTAGCCTCCGTGTTTTGTTTCTGTTCAAGCGTCCTTAGCATGCTACCAGTGCGCTGACTCAGGGGGCGAGGATGTGGACTGCCAGGATGCCTCCGCCCTCCTCAACATCACCAAGCCAGAGAAGAAGGAGGGAGAAGAAGAACCTGATGAATCGGACTACATTCGGAAAAATAAATACTATAAAAACTGCGATGACGTGAACCAGACCATGTGTATGATTGAATCGCACGTGTCACAAGGTAGGGCAACAAATCGTGTATTGATTGGCTGTTGTTTTACGGCGCAGTCGGCAATACCTACATGCAATGAAACCACATGATAGTGAGTGAGTCTAATTTTACGCCGCTTTTAGCACATATTCCAGCAATATCACGGCAGGGGACACCAGAAATGGGCTTCACACATTGAACCCATGTGGGAAATCGATCCCGGGTCTTCGGCGTGACGAACGAACGCTTTAATCACTAGGCTACCCCACCGCCCCGAAACCGCATGACTGCGATTCGACATTGTTGTGCTTGATTATCACATGCCTAGATTCAGAGAACAACTTAACATGATGTTTGAGGCCAGTTTGCCAAATTGTACCAAAACATCGAAGATGCGTTTTTAAAGTGTAACAGTATATATTACCAGCGTTTAAAATTCCCGCCTGCCCGACCGTCTATTTTCATCTCGGACTGTCAAATTCAAAAGTAGCCTGTCCGGTGGTCTGGTAGATATTTTTACCCCTAAGAGTAAATATTTCATAATATCAGATAGGTTCTCGTGTCGTCAGTTCGAGGTGTTTAAGGTATTATGGAAATTATACTACATACGATTGTACAGTTCCTGTTATAACCTATCACAACACATGTACTTTCAGTTTACCTAAACTCGGTGCATTGCCTGTTAGTGCTATGTAGTTCATTGCGATGCCTACAAACAGTGAATGGAGCTTGCTCGAGTCTGCAATGGCAGTCACAGTTTTTTATTGTTGAAAACCGGACAGGCAAGTTTGTATCCGGTCTGGTAATCTTTTAAAGTTACCAGTCTGGCTGTCTGGCTTGGAATTTTGGGAGTTTTAAACACTGATATTACGTCTGTTTGAGATTGGCTTAACGCTATTTTCTGTTATATCAGAACGTGTCACTTCTTAACATCGTATCGGAAACATTTCATGGAGATACAACGACAAGTTGTGAAACATTCAGGATACTATTGCCATGATATTGGATCAATGATTAAAGAAGCTGCAACAGTAAGACACAATTAGGAAGATGAAATTACTTGTGATATAATTTGACGCAGCTTATAACAGTAAACCTAATGTATCTTGCGAAAGAAATCCTTTCAGGTACAAGTCTTTTTTTCTGCAATTACAGGTGTAGTTAAAAGCTACATCCGTGACTGCAGTGATGGAGAGACCTTTTCCTTCGCAAAGTCAAAGTATCCTCGACTAGAGAACCTCCCTGCAAACAACGAGACCACTTGCACGTATGATGTCGGGCCTAACATTCAAATCTGCGTTACGTTATGCACTGGTGATGTCTGTAACGGTCCCCAGCTCGTACCCAAAGAGGAAATTGAATGTCGGAATGTTACGAATGTATACGGAGAAACAGAGGTGATCTGTGGAGCGTCATCGCTAAGTCATTTCTTGATGCACACCTCACTGAATACATTATTGGGCGGAGTGTTTGGGTTTGGCTATTTGGTACCTTTCATCGTCTACAGTCTGGCTGTTTTCCTTATGATGTAAATAGCTGGTGGTGGAATTAATTTATTATGCAAGATCAGAAATACATTTGTTCCGATGTATGCATTGACAAAGAAATATCTCAGTAAGCTACGTTTATAACGAATTACAGGTACTACTAACTGGTTGTGTTGGACCCGTCCACTTGTATATTTTAGTCGAAATGCTTAAAACGAACAAAGGTTATAGCAAACTAAAACTAGTGGCCCCTTGAGTTATAACCGTGCTTTACTTACACGATTTTATGTTATGAAAGTAAGAACCGTGAATGATAACTGATTTGACCCACAGGGCGTGACGTCACTGTTGTTTGTAACTTCATTTCAGATGTTACTTATGCAAATACGCCCAAAAGATTCACGGATGGTGATCTATTTCAGCCTAACAAAAGGAGAATTCAAGTTTGTGTGTGTGTGAGTGAGTGAGTTGGGTTTACAACCGTCCAGCAATATCACTCGCTGTTTTTTTTAGAAAAGTGCTTCACACAGTTAACCCATGAGAACCCCGGCGATCACGTTTACCACTGTGCTACCCTATCGCCTCTCAACAACTGACAGTAGACCTGTTTTAAGAGGTAATATCAAATTGGAAAGTTAATATCTGATCTGTTGAGAATCAAATAACACGTCACAATTTATTTCTGGACTCACAAAAGTCCAGAAACTCTCCGCACTGTGGCCACTTTCTGACAAGGAATTAATCTGTTTATGATCGCTCAACAAACATCCACAAAATTTGTCCTTTCATTCTTGTCACTGAAAAATAACGAGAACATGTTATGTTTTTTTTTATGTCGTTAGCTGCGTTTATCATTTATGATTTACTTCTTTTTAAACGCTGACATTGCTGTCACATGTACACTTCCACTTTTCCAATATCAAGATGCCTTCCAAAAATTATTCTAGGGCAGTTCTGCCATGATTCGTTCACAATGTATTAACCGTATTTGAATGTTATTGCTTTAGAGTTATTAATATTAATATTTATTTTTATTATCCTTATGGTGAAACATAACCGGTGTCATATATATCATGTGTGCACATGTACACATTTCACATTTGCCTACCAACCATTGTTCCTGTATTTCGTCGTCTGTGAGGTCATTAAACAATTGTATATGACGTCAAGTCAATGAACACGGCCGTCACACTTGCTTACCGTGCTTTACTGCACAAATGTACATGAATAAAATGGATAATAAACACCTGCTTGTGTAATAATCTCTATATATCCCTAATTATTCATGATTACATGTCAAATTTATTGTCTCATTCATATTATGTACAACGCCCTCAAATTAATTTCCACCGCTTTCTGAATCACACTGCTTTGCAAATAGCGGTTTTAGCTTGACATATACCACCCCGTTGTCCTCTATTTCGGTTGAGTCAGCTTTTAAAACGTTAAGAATTCTTAGTTGCATTGTGCAACTGATTCATTATCAGTTTGTTTGATTATGGGTCACAGTAGCCTTGCTCGAAGGTTGTCATAAATGCTAAGCCCATATGGAAGTATAGTAATTCTATCCGTTACGTATGCAAGTCCAGATAAGCGGACACTGGACCCCAGTCAGTTATATATATTTTTTTAAATGTTCATTTAAACTATTAATTATTACCCTAGGGACATGTGCAAGTCTGGGGCCACGGTTGATTACCGAAACATGGACAGTTTTAGCGAAGTGTGTTCTGTATGGTTATGTCTATTTTTAGAAATAGATTGGTATTTATTAAGTAAGTTTAACGACCTGGAATGAGATAAATTTTGAATGGGCCTTTTAGTTCTCCACACAGAGCCACATGACTTTGCAGCCATGTCTTGGCGATAGACTTGACTCTTCACCTAGGCATATTAGGAATGATAATCATTAGAATGCATTACATTGAAGTATTGAGGTGATTTGTGCTGATTTGTATATTTATCATATGCTACCCATCAAAAGTTTAGACTCACTTAAAAAAGCACTCACTATATGTTATGTATATATATGGTTATATCGAAAATGAATTTCTCAACTAAATTGGTGAAACCAACTGCAAACCTTATGCAGATGAATTGCACGAGGATCATGCATCAAATTGCTGAAGAGCATGTGCAGATATCGTACATGTGAACAGCTGCGTTTTGATGTAAAGTCTTGTTAAGAATTCGCCAATTTTCACTGAGTTTCATCATTTATTGAACTCATGACAATAATCTTTTCACCGTTAGGAATTTGTTTTACAATACATCAGTTCAGGTGTAAACAGTACCTTCAAACAGTATGGAATATTTTGAAAAATCTAGTTGACTGAACAGTTGACTGAAGTAAGTGGCTATATTTACACTAGTGAGTCTAAACTTTTGATGGGAAGTAATTGTAAGTTTATCAGATTGGTTTATTGTATCGATAACACAAGCCTATATACGACACAATGGTGAGTCTGCGAACACTATCTGGAAGGGCACTTTGTAACATGGTAAGACATTGAATAATCTCACAAATGAGTGTCGTCCCTAGACACAAATTTCATATTTTATCTCAAACGACACTTACGATGCTTTGGGTAAGCCGGCTAATCGTCGTCAAGGTTCCTTGCATCGACCAATTATGTCTTTTTCAATAATAATTATTATATAATATTACGTTGTTTCTCTCTATTCTTATTATGTGTTTCATTGCGTCCAAAACGAGAAACACAGAAGCACATTAACTGCACATCTTCCCTCATTCAAATGTAGAATTAAGCAGAGAAAATTTCATATCGATGGATGCTGCGAAAGGCGAGGTGGATATTTTCCTAGTTATCACTTTCATGTATTTTCTGATAAAAGCAAATTGTCTGACATGAAATATTTTTATATAAATATACGCTATTACTGTGTAATTATTTAGTACCTTTATTCAGAGAGCATGACAATCGAGCAGTATTGTGATATGCACGTTGTGGTTTCTATATGATTTTGTGATAATATAGAGGTGGAATTTATGCCTGTATCTTTACTGGTACCAGGTATGCTTGAATAAATGTGTTGTTATGAAAATGAAACAGTCCTTGTACTTTTCTGTAATTTGAAACGGTGTCAACAAACGTCGAACAGATTATAATTCGTTTTTACAGCTTAAGTATTTACAAGCTTTTTCAATTTAGATTGAAGTTTGTGTCCCTCTTTAAATAACTTTTCCTTGGAGGATATGTCTGTGTGTTTGCACCCACTCACATCTTAACAGTTTTAACGACTTTTGACTTGTCCTGCCACAGGAACAAAGTTTTCATTCATAGTTTGTATGTTGTTTATTAAGGGTGACTATTGAGGGGGGAAACAACTATTGCGATAGTCTATTGCAACCTACTATTGCGATTGCGATAGTCTATTGCAACATACTATTGCGATTGCGATAGTCTATTGCGACCAACTATTGCACTACTATATTTTTCTCTCCTTGCACCGACTCATTTGAAGTCGTTTCCCAAATGAATGTATAGTTCAAGCTGAAACATAGCTGAAGTAGTTTCAGTCTCTTTTAATAGCTTACAAGAAACTTGAAACCAAGATCAAGTTTGTTAAAGAGGTAACAGGGATGGATAACTCTAAATCAAAGTGAAAGAATCTTTTCTTTTCTTTTCTTTTAATTAATCTTTTTTTAGGTACAAAACCATGACATCAAATAACAGTCAAATATAACCATGTGTCTGTATACAGACTTTGGCAAGCATATTATAACAAATGACATTGTAGGGAAATGGGTTGGTTGTACGTTAGTATTAATCAAACAATTGGTGACAATCAGACCAAAATCCAACAAATTTGGTAAAATTACAAGAAAAGATGGCATGTGTTCTCTCGATATTGTAAACTTTACTTATTTCATTTCTGGTCGTATCGAAACTTGGTGCACAGGTATATGTTCGTATTTTGAAAAGGGTAAATTTGACAATTGTTATCAGGAGATTAAGAACATCGTTCCTTTTATCAGAGAATCCAAATATGATTTTCTTCTTATCGATATTCAATGTGATATCTGTTTTTGTTCTTATCCTATAGGAAAATTGATTCCATATGTTTTTGATTTTGGACAGTCGTAAAAGAGATGAATTCCGCTTTCTGGTGCATTTTTACAAAATGAGCATAACTTACTCTCTACATACCCCATCTTAAACAAAAGTAGGTTTATTAAGATTCTATGCACTAAAGAATATTGGAACCATCTAAAGTCTGAGTTTGTGTGAGCTCGAAATATAATCTTTTGATAGGATTTCCATTCTTTTTCACTTACATCTGTTTCAAGTTCATCTTCCCATTTCTTTTTATAGCTATACATAGCAGAGTCTGAAATTGGAATAAGTGTGTCATAATATGTCCTACAGCCTTTCTTAATTTTAAAAATGTCCTGTATGTAATAGGGAATAAATGGTAATTCAAGTTTTTCTCCAACTGGTATGTAGTGTGTTTTATAATATTGTTTGACTGCTCTTACTAGGCTTGCATATTCTAAGAAGTTTGTTTTTAAGTATTTTCTAATTTGCTCGTGAAACTTTTGATATGTATAGATTATTCCATCAGTATCTATCAAGTCATTTACCTATGTCATGCCTATTTTAGCGTAGTGTTGGTACACGAATGGTTTTTTATCCAAGAGAATTTGTTCATTGTGCCATAAACATTGCGATAAAATATCATTGCCCTGAACAACTTTTATTATTTTTCAATGACGTATAGAAATCCCATTGGGTTTTTTATATTTATAACTCTTTGTTTTATAAATGATTACCCCTTCAGCAGGATATCTGGTATGTTTTGTGAAACATTATAGGAAAAGATGGCAGTCAATTTAGAGTCTTTTAAACATATTCTTTAAACCATGCAATATTTTGAGCATTGATTGTCTGTTTTATGTCGGGCATTCTTAAACCGCCCTCCTCACATTTTTGTTTTATGATATCACGTTTAATCTTATCAGGTTTGTTATACCATACAAAGGAGAAACATAGTTTTTTCTAGGTCATTAATAATGTCATTTGATGTGTTGGGTAGGGCGGAAAATAAGTGGTTAATTGTTGGCAGAATAAATGATTTCAGGATTGTAATCCTACCGAGGGGTGTAAGGTTTTCGAGCTGTCCATATTTGCATTTTTATTTTTATTTTTTTTAGTTTGTCTTTATAGTTCTTTTCAACCATCTCAGCTAGGTTCAGAGAGAATACAATACCAAGAATAGCTAAATCAGGCTTGGGACCAGTTAAGTTTCCATTTTGTGCACAAAATATTGGTTGATCCTCTGAGAGATCCTCTCCAAATGATTCTTGTTTTGTTTACATTCATTCTCAGACTGGAAAAGGAAGCATAGTCGTCCAGTGAAAGAATCTGGTACTCCTGTATTTTGCGCTGCGCATTTATCAACGGAAGTCAATTACTATCGATAGTCACACATACTATCGATGCATCTCTACTATCGATTAATTGCAATCGGAGACTCAACAATTGCAATCCATCGATAGTTCGATGCATCGTTATAACCCTATTGATTATCGTCACCTTACAACTGACATTTTAACGGTTTGTCCATAGAATGACCACGCGATGTACATGATGGACATTAATCACGTTGTGTGACGTAACGACAGATGGTTCCTATGCAGTTTCATGCTTGCTGGTCATGTTTTTGCAGACACATTACCCTCCTTTCACTTCAGCCGAGTGGAACAGAATCTGTGCGGGTTGGAGGGGTTTGTGGTTAGCCTCGGTGGAATTTACGTTATGTTGTTCTTTGATGGAGTGACTTTTTGCAACAGTCCCTACCAGTTGGGAGTATGTTGTGAAAAAATACGGCATATCATGTTACACGGCCATAATGATGTTATCCGTAAATTTTCCTTTTGTCATTGAAGTTATGTTCAGTTTGGGGGGATGTGGGTGTTGCTTGTTTGTCTCCCATAGTCCGACATTTTGCTAATACAAGAGTGAGTGAGTGTGTGAGTTTAGTTTTACGCCGCTTTTAGCACATATTCCAGCAATATCACGGCGGGGGACACCAGAAATGGACTTCACACATTGTACTCATCTGAGGTATCAAACCCGGGTCTTCGGCGTGACAAACGAATGCTTTAACCACCTGGCTACCCCAGTGCCCCGTTCCTCGATGGCGGTTATTCTCGACTACAAATGACCTATTTCTGGTGTACCCCCGCCGTGATATTGCTGGAATATTGCTAAAAGCGGCGTAAAACTAAACTCACTAACTTATTCACTTCAAATCATTGACCAAGCGTTATGACATGGCTGAAATGTTGCCAAGTGCGGCGTAAAGCAATAACAAAAGGATGTCGATGCAGCTCAGACTGAGCGCTTCACGCACACGCACTTAGGGGTGCTCGACGCGTCCTTTCGCGAGCCTTTGTTTAAAAAGCTTAAAGGACCACGGATGAGTGATTGATGACACCAGTATGAACACAGGTAGCAAACAAATGTGTAATCTTTGATACAATATAAGTAATTGTATGATGCAGCCAGGGTCGAACAATGAACACTAAATTTAGCAACGATTTCGTGCATATAGTTCACCTTGCGTTGGTGGCGGTTCTGCCGTGATGAGGGTAGGAGTGACAGGGCCTGATCCCCTTAAATATCACATCGGGTACTGATATTCCAGTAATGTGACACTTGTGTTCCCCGCTGCTTTGCTTTCTGTGCGAAATGTAATCTGTTTCGGCGGGTGGTTGAGGCTGTTTGTTCCATTGCGTTGATATAATATATTGCTCATGGAAAAGATTTCGTCAACCTCAACCTGATTTTATTTAGTTTAAGACTTAATGTTAGTATTGCTTCTCCAGAGATCGTAATTCCGGAAACTGCTCGCCAGCTACTTCGTGCATCTCAGTGACATCAACACAGTGTTTATGATAAGGATATTTTCAGGTGATTTTCAACTCGAATACTATGCAGTCATCACTTCTACTTATCGTAGATGTTTTACCAACGTAAGGATGATTTACACTTACATGTACTTAGAATGGTGGATAGTCGTTAAAGGGCCCATGTTTTAAGCTGACCTTGACCCCCATGACGTGTACCTTTCAATGCGGCTACGTGCATGGGCAGATTGAAATGAGTGAATGGATGGGTATGGTTACAACAATATTCCATCTTTATTTCACCGTTGTAGAGAAACACATTGATGTCATGTCGAACACGGGTCAACGAGCCAAATCTTTATCACCTGGGCCCCGTTCCTCAAAGCGATCGTACCGCTACGACAGTTGTAATTCTATGTTAAAGAATGGGAGTTACGATCATCTTAGCGCTACGATCGCTTTGAGGGACGGGGCCCTGAACTACCCTTTCGGCCCAAGATCGTAGCGATCGTAGAGCTACGACTGTTGTAAGAATGGGAGTTACGATCACCTTAGAGCTACGAAACGGGGCCCTGCGTATCTAAACCTATCGGTCGTAACTATCGTTATCTATCAATCGAAAGTATGCAACGTAAATCTTTCCATTTAAATCCTATTCTAAACAGCATCGTAAGCTATGGTTCATTAATTCAAATCTTTCGATCTAACTTGCGTAAACTTGTAAACAGATATTAATAATCATGTCATTATAATAGTATGAAATAAAACAAAATAACCCCCACCCACCCACCCTCCTTCCTTTTGAAAATGACTAAAGCCCACATTACAGTTAATGTTTTGCAATGGCGGAGCCATTCGAAACACACACACACACACACACGCACGCACACACACACATGCACACACACACATCCGCCTATGTCTTCGTTAGTTCTTCAGGTACGGCGCCCAAATAGTCAAAAACAGTTTTGAAGTGAACAAAACCACTTGTAATCCACTACGTGAAAGTGCAACACTGCCCTGTTTTGGCTCGTGTGATTATGGCTGATCACGACCCGTCATAATGGCTGATCACGTACAGTGAATGTCACGGAGTCCTTTGAAAGAATTCACCCGGAAGAATCCCCTTGCCACTTGACAATGTCAGATGACTCTTATGCCAAACTAGGTGTACACTTTGTAAACTTAACACCTAAAACAATTATTGGACGCGAATGTTCTTTTACCAAACACTTTTACCAAACACTTACATTCAGAAATAGACAGACAGGATGAGAGACAAAATATATTTCTATAAAACCGGTTGACTATTTGTACAAAATATATGTTTTATTTCACTGTTGCCTCTTTCATGCCTTTGCAAAATGTATGACTGTTTGGTAATTGACAGCCTTTTCAAACACAAGCATAATGGTTAACTATCTTTGGGATAAACATTTCCCGACGACTTTCAAATAGAGGAAAACTGTACTTAAAAAAACATAGATTTCTTCCTCAATAACACGACAGTGTGAGCACCTGACGTCATCATCATCATAAATGAATAATACCACAACAGGCAAATTAAATACTATGAGTGTTTTGTCCACCTGGAATATCCGCAAGTAGCATTGTCCATTGCAGAATTCCAGCCACATCGTAACCAACTGTTGATGGGTTACTTTGGATTAGCGACGACACCGGTATGTGTCATAATAATAATAAATAATAATAATTTGTCCATTTATACTGCGCACATCCACATCGACAGCATGCTCATAGCGCTGACAGTTCATTATTACCCCGGATAACCCAAGCTGCCTGTGAGGCGCTAGAAGGTTATAGTCACATGATTTGTCCCACCGGGTACCCACTTTCTGCCAGTTGAACAGAGACCATATGTTACAGTTGATTTGACGTGTCTATCATTGCCTTCTTGTCTAAATTGTCTTTGGAATCTAGAGACCTGTCCGACACCTCGGGGTCATCCTGCCCCTCCCCCACGTCCACCTCCACCTTGTCCACGGCCCAGGGCTGCAGCTCCCCACGGGCCATGGTGCCGAACACCACAATTCCTATGACACAGAACCCTGCACACACGTAGAAGACGTTCCGCCATTCTTCCTGGGTTTTCTGTGGAGAGAGACAAGATGTGCTGAGTCAGTATGGCTGTAAGCTCCTTTATCACTGCTCCTTTCCAGGAGGGAATTACAACAGAGCTTTAGACATTTTACCCAATTGGTAATCGAGCACAACAAGGCCACCTTACCGTCCCTGGAGGTAACTGAGTATTTGCGTTTTTATTACAATGTACGTTGTAACAACCTTGGTACCAAATTTGAACAAAATCCATCATTTCTTTCTTGAGTTATCGCCCTAACAAGCTTATATGATGTATGAAATTCAACGTAAAACAAACACACGTGTATTTACGAGTGATTAAAACTGTTATTACAATTTACGTAAATATTTATTACATTTTACCGCAACTAAAATTATTACAATTTACGTCAATGTTTATTACAATTTGCGTATTACAATTTACGTCAATTTCTATTACAATTTACGTTTTTATTACAATTTACGTCGAATTCATTACACTTTGCTGCAAGTATTACAATTTGCGTTTTTATTACAATTTACGTCGTAACAACCCCAATTATCTACTCTGTCAAAGAGACCCTGAAACAAATATGCGACAAGCAGATTCATTGAGCATGCTATGAATTGAGTGACGTCAAATCATTGGGAACAAACCCTGGATCGGTAATTATAGGTCAGCCTCGATTCCTAGTAACTATTGCCTGTCGTACACGGCGCTGAATCGTGTGGTCAGGTTCATTGCCTTCGTTCAAATATTTATCTTTTTCGCGAGCACGTGATGTCACCATTGATAATCAGTGATCTTTTCGTTTAATTTTCACCGCCATTTCGCCTTCTCTGAATAATGGGATCTGTTTGGGCGGATAATCGAGGCGGGTAAATCTTTAGATTTAAAGTTTGATATTTATAGCGCGTCGTCGTGTACCTGAAACAGCTGAGGCGATGCTGGAATATAAAAACAAAATCTTAACCCATGCATGACGAATCTTCCACTTACGTTTGGGGTGAGGGCACCGGCGACGAGAGGTGCCACCATTCCCGGGACCGTGGCAGCAGCGTTAGTTATACCGAACAGTATACCAGCGTATCTGCAACATGACTTTGGACATTGTTACACGGCGCAACATGACTTGTAACGCTGATACAAGCAGATTCCAACCTCCGATGATACATAAGTGAGTATATGGTTTTATGTCGCTGTCAGCAACATCACCAGAAATGGTTTTTACACATGGCATCCACGTGGGGAATCGATCGCGCGAACGCTTTAACCACAAAGTTACCCCACCACCCATTACAAACACTGAACTAGGTTAGTAAATGACGTTGTGATTACGTGATATTGCTGTGTGCAAAACAACAAAATGACGTCAGATATATCTCGAATGTTTAAGCAAGTATATTAAAGGTCACATGCAACCAAAAAATCAAACATAATTAAAACACAATTATCACTTCTTCATGACATATAATATGCATTGCTGATTATGAAAAAACATATAAACAAAATTATAAGCGTATAATCGCAAATCAAAAGTGCAATATTTTGTACTTGGGTTTACCTCCCTCGAAACGAAGCAGCCGGGATACCGAACCCAGTCAGAGCGGGTGGGTGTGCACTCAAGTGTAACGGCTGGTTCATTAGCAGATGCCGCCTTCACGGCTCATTGTGTGTGTATATATAGAGATGTTGGGTTTTGTAAATACATGCTCATTTTTTGTGTATAACATTTTGCAATCAACAGACATCATAACATGTCATGTGTTCAAGTATCACACCTTCCTGTCTGTGTAATTACATAATGTGACAGAGACCGAACTCGGGCCATAAATCAATGCGTTTTGTTTATGGTGTATAGCCTGATTGGTGTTAAGTTCAAATTGCATGTTGTCAGTGATCGCAGTTGTGTATTGAATATTGTCATTAGCAGACAGGCAGGCAGACACACAGGTGTCAATAAAACAAGACATTGAGTTTTGTCTGTGACAGCGACATATCTATATCACAGTTAGAAATTCTGTAATGACATTGCTTTTAAGTATCGAACTGAGAAAGTGACTCGGTAAGAAGAACGTGTGGTGAAAAAGACAAAAGAAATTATATAAACAGTTTATTTACTGTCATAACATATGAAAAGCTCGCGCCTGTGAGATATCAACAAAACATTATAAAAATAGCTCACACCAAACCCTTCACCGAGTATTCACCAGACAGCCCGCTGCCAAGTTGTGCGAACCTATTTCACTGCGCACATGCTATGAGTGCAGCCCAGCTGTTGAAACCCGTATTCCCCAGAAAAGTCTGGGGAAAATTAGTGAAACGTTTGAACTCCGAGTTCGCGCGTTTTTTTTCATCGCGTTATTTTTCAACTTTATAAGTTGAATTTGCATTTTTGACGCTTTGTTTCGGTAAGTCCATACCGAAAGGTATCAGAATCTGCAAAGTTGTGTTTTACGTTGCATGTGACCTTTAAATATTTACTATTTACCAATCACATTGAGTGAATTCGGGCGTCACGAATATCGATCACTTAAACAATGTGCTTTTCTGCTGATTCCTATGTGCAGCTCATAACTCAATTTAAAACTGAAACACATCTTTTGAAACTTTTTTATCGAACAAGATGCTCATCGCATACACCGTACACTGAACACGAAGATACAAACAAATATGATCGTTGTGTTTGTGAACTATTCAGTAAGTAGGAAGTAGAAGATGAGTACCTTCTTTTCGTTATATGTCCAGTATATGATCACCTGGAATATGTGTCTCCCTATACATCCCATGAGTCCCAGCCATGAAACATTTCTAGTTTTGTGTACCAATGTCTTTCGAAAATATCAACGAGCTAAACCCCGTGACATCTTGTGTATCTATGTAATTAAATACAGAAACTGTGTCCATAAGGATCAATAAATACATTTGTTGCAATATCGATGCAACGCGCACACGCTTCAGAAGTGCACTGTATATCATACACTGTTTATCTGTACACTGTGTAGGGGGCGGTGGAGTAGCCTAGTGGTTAAAGCGTTGGCTGGTCACGCCGAAGGCCCGGGTTCGATTCCCCACATGGGTACCATATGTGAAGCCCACTTTTGGTGTCCTCCGCCCGTAGAGTGGAAGGTCGCGGGTTCGATCCCCGACCGCGTCATACCAAAAGACGTTAAAATATGGTACTTGTTGGTCCCTGTCTGGCGCTCGGCATTAATGGGTACAACAAGGACTGGTCGGCTCGGAGTCAGTATAATGTGTCTGAGTGGGGTATTCATGCTTCACTGTGGCATGGTATCTCAGTGGGCTAGCACTATAAAACCAGCTTAAGTCTGGGCTAGTACAAGCAGCCGCACATACACATACACACGCATGCACGTCGTCATATGAGCGAAATATTCTCAAGTACGACGTAAACCCAATTTCACCTCACCCATCTGGTGTCCTCCGCCGTGATGTTGCTGGAATATTGCTAAAAGCGGCGTTAAGCCATATTCACTCACTCACTGTACACTGTATATCTGCATTCTAGATGTCCACACATTGTACATCTACATGCTGTAAGTCCGAATACTGTATATTAGTTCACTGTATACCCGCACACTGTATATCAACGCATGTATATTACACTTAAAGTCTTACACCACACGGATAAACAATCCTGTAAAAATACCTACACATATCATTGATCGTCTTGGAACGACATATTCAAAACTGAGTTTTCTAATCTTGAATTAAAGGACAAAGAAACACTACCTTGGAGCGAAGTCAACAGTGTTGACAAGGTAGCCAGCAGACGCCATCCCAACAAACCCCATTGCTAGAGTTAACAAAACAATGGGGATGTAGCGGTGCTCTACGCCCACAAATCCTGTCCCGACCAGACACGCACCTGCCCCAACAAACGCTGAAATAGAAAAATATCGTTTATGAGATGAAATGATAGATTTGGCGGGAAAATATGCGCAATGAAACGCTACTAGGCCGGAAACCCTCTACCTGGACGGTTAATGTCGATCATGTATTCATATACACAAGACAAAAAGGAACGCAACACAGCATATTTTTCATAGCATCAATATGTAAACGTATCAGGTACAGTTATGGGAGAGTCCCTCCACGCCATCAAAAACACCCTAAACGGTATTTGCTCTAGTATATTCCGTTGTTCATGTGAAGTTTTTTCTGCGACGCCCAACACGAGCTCTGCCATCAGTCATAAACAAAGGAATTCGACTTTCGTCCCACCAGTGGTCCCTTCCCCGTGACGTAAAAATCTAGTGACCTCGAGCTTGACACCAAACTGGGCGAGCTGCTGTTTATAACAAGCCACTTGAAATGAACGGGTGAAGTCTTGTGATTCTCGTGGTGGGCCTGAACGCTTACGATCCTTAACGCCATTAGTTTGCTGATGTTTTCCAGCCAATCGACTGATAGTCAATGGAAGGCAACCGACTTCTCTTGCAGTAGCCCTTAGTGACATGCCAGCATTCCGCACACCAATAACTTGTGTCATTTGAGGAGGACACATTTAGACTTTTCCAAAAGAAAATAGTAGGTGTTCCGATACTTTTTTCCTTGTTTATATACAGGATGGACATTACCTATTCAGTGCCAATGATAGGATGGTCCAGATGTTAGATAACTGAATATTTCACTGAGACTTCACTAGGGAGACAGTACGGATATGAGAATAAAAATATGTGCAGATTCCAGCAATGTCACGGCGGGGGGACACCGGAAATTGGCTTCACACATTATACCCATGTGGGGAATCGTACCCGAGCGAATGCTTCACCACTAGGCTACTAGGGGTGGGCGATAATACCGGTTAACCGGTATATTGCAATTCCAACTTCACAATACGACATATACACTTTTCGCGAACCGGTTCACCCGATACGATCGGTAATTTTCGAGATTTAGTTAAAACAATAATATTTATATTTCCTTTATATCATTATACATGTATAGTTTTGAGAATGGTTATTGTTCATATAATTGCATTTGCGTGACTTTTAAACCACATAAATATAAAAAATTAGATTGGCACCAGCACTCGTTGTAGGGATAAACAAACCAAAAAGGCGGACGCCGTGGCAGACGCTTTTTCTCGAGTTACAAACTTTAGAGCGAAGTTTTCAGTTTGGAAACATTTTCTATTGATTTCCTGTACAAATACATCTGAGTCCTGACAGTGGCAAGTTGCATTGTCTCAAAAGAAGGAAACAGTAATTTCATTACCTTAACCCATGTGTTACACTTTCACAATATATTGCAATACGCCAACACATATCACAATATATTGCAATACATATTGCAATACGCCAACACATATCGCAATATATCGCAATACGAAAATTTTGGCAATACCCAACCCTAAAGGCTACCCCACCGGCCCAGTAGTAGTAGTAGTAGTAGTAGTAGTAGTAGCAGTAGTAGTAGCAGTAGTAGTAGTAGATGGATTTACGACCAAGAAAGGCATTTTTTTCCCCACTCATTCAAAGAAGGGTGATATAATGGTTTCCCCCTTTGATTACAGCTAAGTTTGCATTTTAAACCGAACAAAATTATTTCCAAATATATGTTGCTGCGGCAAAATGAGTTGTGAACGCAATAATATAAGATAACAGCAATAATAGTATAACAGCAATAACAGTATAACAGCAATAACAGTATAACAGCCAATAAGACATTATTGATGAAACCAAGGCAGAGAAACTATGAATCATTATTGTTCAAATAAATCACAAAGTATATTTGCAAAAATGAAATATTATAGAATTTTATCATCTAATTGGTATCCAATTCTGATAACTATGCAAGCTACGTCAATCCACGAACTACTTTTACAAAACTCCATGCACGCCAAAGGCTCGCATAATACAATATTTATTCCTAATATATGATATTAATGATACGGAAACACACTCGGTTAATAATCTCTATATTCCCTGCAACTTTTGTGACGAGATTTGTTCGGAAATTAAACCAAATCCTGCAAAACAAGCCAATATTTATGACGTCATTGCCCTATGTTATAACGTGTATATCTACTGGTACATACAGATGGTCTGGAAGATCCTTCGGGTGGCTGTGGTGCTCAGGTATTTCCTTGACCGGAAGAAGTCGGCAATCTGACCAGACAACACTCCAGTCACGGCCTGGCTCATATAGGGAATGGACGACAGCAAGCCGTTCTTGAGAAGACAATCAAACAGATGTCATGCAAAATTAGTTCTTACTTTACTGTATCCTGTTCATCAAAACAATTAGGTTATTTCGAAAATGTAGATTTTGTATAAAGTTTTGGACGAAATACAAGCATCTCATATATGAAAACAAACCCATATTATCAACATGAAGAGTGTGTGACAGCAATCTTAGTGTGGAGCGTCGATCAGGATACGCTGACACGTGTTAACCAAGTCTGCGAGCCTAACCACCCGATCCCGTTAGTCGCCTCTTTAGACAAGCATATGGATTGCTGAAGATCAATTCTACCCGGATCTTCACAGGTTCTTAGCCGTTAAGAACAAAATATAATATTTTCTGAAGGCTGACGTATTCCATTGTGCGAAATCACAAAATTTAATTTGTTTCTGTTATTTGTTTCTATTCAAACTCTTTCGAAATACTAATTAGTTCAATGTAATTCCCTACGAACCTCGGCTATATTAAAATCCAGCACTTCTTTGAGGTATGTCGGCAAGTTAGTCAGCAGTGTGTACGATATCCAGTTTGCACACACTTGTGCAACTAGACAAGCCCACGTCGCCGGCGACTTCAACAAGGCGGCCCATGGCGTCGAGTATGACTGGATAACAACGATAATGACTTAGTTGTGACGTAACAGAAAAGTCTGTTTTCATAGTTGGATCCGGGAATAAAATACACGACTCACAGAATTCTGACATCCAGCTTGATTAGAAGCCCGTGTTAATAAAAGAATAGGTTACACATGCAGCGGTCGTCATGGTCCGATGAAGGCAGTCACTATTCTGTCCAGAGTTCCTTGTTGTCAGGGGGTGGTGGGGTAGCCAAGTGGCTAAAGCGTTCGCTCGTCACGCCAAAGATCCGGGTTTGATTCCTCACATGGGTACAATGTGTGAAGCCCATTTTTTGTGGTGTCCCCCGCCGTGATATTGCTGGACTATTGCTGAAAGTGGCGTAAAACTAAACTCGCTCACTCACTCCTTGCGGTCAGCCTCGTACCTCTGATACATCTTACACCGTATAGGGCCATTCATTCTTAGTTGTATGTTTTTATTTTGGAGTAAGTGCCTTTGTTTACAACCATGTAAAATGTCTAGCCACGTGATGTGTCTTCACCCATGATGTAGACTGGTGAGGCTAAAGAGCCTGAGCGGCAAAAGACTGTTAATTTCATTTTGTCTATTAACGTACTATTCATTCATGCAACAATTTGTAAATAGTAGTTTGTGTGTGGGTAATTTTGTGTACAACCAAATAGGTTCAAATGAAGTTTTGGTTGATTGATTGATTGCTGGTTAACGCAGTACTCAGCAATATTCCAGCTATATGACGGCGGTCTGTAAATAATTGAGTCTGGAACAGATGATCCAGTGATCAGCAGCATCAGCATCGATCTACACAATTGGGATTTGATGACATGTGTCAACAAAGTCAGCGAGCCTGACCACCCGATCCCGTTAGTCGCCTATTACTACAAGCATGGGTTGCCGAAGACAAATTTTACCCCGGATCTTCACGGGTCATGGTTCCACGTGACCCCTACCATTAAAATGATGCAAATTTAGTAACATTGTGCATCGTTCCCTTCGTATATACGGGCAGTCTGCCACCCGGGGCGTGAAGAATACGTCAAGAAATAGTTACGGGTTATATACATATATATAAGTATGTATATAACGCATTCATATTCATTGAGATATAAATGGATGATACCGTTTGTTTTTCCCCTATACTGGAGATAATGTAGTTCCTCTCTCTCTTCGTGATACGAGGGTGTTCAGCCGGTGTGCTGGCGACCGTTATATACCACAGCCCGCACCATAGCAGAGATATACCACCTGTAAACAGGAGATAAACAGTTCGGTTCCAAACTGGCTGGTGTCAGCTTGTTATGGGAAGAAATGATTTGAAAGACTGAATAATGTTGTTATTTCATCCAGGCGATTGTTGATAAACGGATGGTGTTCCCAGAAAAGTATATATCAGTAGACTTTATAAGGAGAGAATTATTTATGTCCCTACACCTTTGTGAATTTAATTGATGCGTGTGTGGGTTTGGTAGGTGGGCCGATGGATGAGTGAGTGAGTTGTGCCAGCTGACTGATGGATAAAGCATCCAAGTGATGCATTCCTTAGAACCAATAAGGTGATAACGCGAACACTTGATATTGGATCACCAAAAGTCTAACGACAGTCGGAGCTCAACGATAACTTTGTGAAACGGGGCCCTGGTCCACACTCAGCTGCTCAGAGCAGAGTCGGGGCAGTTATTTCAATAAATCAAAGTAAAATCATTATTATCCTGTTTTCGCTTTCCTCAGAAATAATTTTATTTGGTGGTAAGGGCAAAAAAGCTGTCCAAATTACATGAATGGCCACTGAAAATCACCGAAGACTGCAGGTGTTGGCTAAAAGGATGAGCACATCACTGCGACGGTCATCAAAATCATTCCACTGAATTAAATACATTACAATTTAAAGGATTTCTATATTGCATGTGTAAAAGATGCAGGTGACATGCCACAGGAGAACCATCCGGGATTCGAACCCACATATATATATATATATATATATATATGTGTGTGTGTGTGTGTGTGTGTGAGTGAGTGAGTGAGTGAGAGAGTGAGTGTGAAAAAACAGCGATGCGACTTCGTTTTGCTGCCTCAGGGGAAGCAACTCTCCATCGCGATTTATCAAACCTCCGTCGATCGGAAGGTCTGTGTTCATTGTTAATGTGTGGTAGGTTTGGTTGATGTCTAACGCTGCACTCAGCAATATTCCAGCTTGATGGCGGCGGTCTGTAAATAATCGAGTCTGGAACAGACAATCCAGTGATCAACATCATGATCAAAACCATGACCTTAGTTAGGTATCTGAAAGTAGTTTTCTGGGTTGATGTGTTTTGTGTGGTAATTTCAACAGTAGGAATTAGTAAATATTAGAAAGGCACGTCGGTTATAACATAGACTGATATAAGGTATACTCGGCTATGACGAATTACAGAATGTAATGTACAGAATGCTTGGTCAAAACAAATGATTCTAATCATTTAACGCCTTTATGTGTATATTTAAATTACCTGTAACATAGAAGATTGACCCCCATCCGTTATCGAAGCCATATATGCACATGAACCCTGATATAGCGAACGTTGCTATGTTACCAAACTGGTTTCCTGGAATGTAGAATATACATAATTAGGAAGCGTAGTAAATATGTTTGTCATAATTGTAAACTTAGTGGCGGTAGAAACTGTCGTAAGTATGCTTATAATAACTGCAAATTTAGTGGTGATAGAAAGTGTAGTAAATATGTTTGTAATAATTGCAAATTTAGTGGTGATAGAAAGTGTAGAAAATATCTTGGTAATGATTGCAAATTTAGTGGAGATAGAAAGTGTAGTAAAGATGCTTGTAATAATTGCAAATTTAGTGGCGATAGAAAGTGTAGTAAATATGTTTGTAATAATACAAATTCCGTGGAGATAGAAAGTGTAGTAAATATGTTTATAATAATTGCAAATTTAGTGGTGATAGAAAGTGTAGTAAAGATGCTTGTAATAATTGCAAATTTAGTGGCGATAGAAAGTGTAGTAAATATGTTTGTAATAATACAAATTCCGTGGAGATAGAAAGTGAAGTAAATATGTTTGTAATAATACAAATTCCGTGGAGATAGAAAGTGTAATGGTAAGTATCAGCAAATGATTGGCTTGATAGTGAGTGACTAAGGTTTTACGACGCGTTTAGTGATATCACGGTGGGGACAGCAGAAATGGGCTGAACACATTGTACCCTTGTGGGCAATGGACCCGGGTTTTCTGTACAGTCATATTTTTAGAAACTTACACTTTCAAATCTTGTTTACCTGAATAACAGACAGCAGTGAGTTTTGTACTCTCTAATGGCGGCGCCCATCTGCCCCACATGGATTGTAGAGATGGATACAAGACTCCCTGGGTAGAGTACAACACAACGCGATGTTATTTATTAATGAATAGAGTGCATGTAAACCACGTGCGTTAGTGCGGAACAGAAATATACCCAACGTGTTCAAGTAACGATCTTTCAAAGGACACTAACCGTGTCTTGAGATATGTTTGTGACTAAATATTACCATTCACAATGAATGGTTATGAGAAAATGAATATGTTTACATATTGTAATTTTGATTTGTATATAGGCCAATGGATTTTCACCAAATAACCGTTTTGACTTGACTTTTACAACAAAAGTAAGCTGTATGCATATAGGTAGAACTTAGAATTTCGAACACCAATGTGCCAGCATTAAACTAAATCGCTTCTTACAAACGTCGATCTTGTCAACTTTCTGAACCAAATTAACATACGCTGGGCCATCATCTACAAGAGGAAACACGGTAAATGTAAATTTTAAGCTTAAAAATAATTTCTACCTGAGACACTCCAAGGATCACACGCAGCACATACACCAGGTAGATGGAAGTCCGGGCGCCGATTGGTAGAAGCAGTGAGGCGATCGAGCCAATGGACATCCCGATAAACATGACGTACTTTCCGCCATATTTACTGGCCAGTATTCCCGCGGGAATTTGTGTTATTATGTATCCATAGAAATACGAGCTGAGTATTCCTGACTGCTCTCCCTTGGTCCAGTAGAACTCGGCATGCTGGAAATATAACGTGTAGTATGAAGGGAGTGAGGGCGTTTAGTATTACGCAAAATATTCCAGCAATATCTCGGCGGGAGACACCAGAAATGGGCTTCACACATTGTACCCATGTGGGGAATCGAACCCGGGTCTTCGGCGTGTGTAGGTATTTTTACAGGATTGTTTATCCGTGTGGTGTAAGACTTTAAGTGTAATATACATGCGTTGATATACAGTGTGCGGGTATACAGTGAACTAATATACAGTATTCGGACTTACAGCATGTAGATGTACAATGTGTGGACATCTAGAATGCAGATATACAGTGTACAGTGAGTGAGTGAGTATGGCTTAACGCCGCTTTTAGCAATATTCCAGCAACATCACGGCGGAGGACACCAGATGGGTGAGGTGAAATTGGGTTTACGTCGTACTTGAGAATATTTCGCGCATATGACGACGTGCATGCGTGTGTATGTGTATGTGCCGCTGCTTGTACTAGCCCAGACTTAAGCTGGTTTTATAGTGCTAGCCCACTGAGATACCATGCCACAGTGAAGCATGAATACCCCACTCAGACACATTATACTGACTCCGAGCCGACCAGTCCTTGTTGTACCCATTAATGCCGAGCGCCAGGCAGGGACCAACAAGTACCATAATTTAACGTCTTTTGGTATGACGCGGTCGGGGATCGAACCCGCGACCTTCCGCTCTACGGGCGGAGGACACCAGAAGTGGGCTTCACACATGGTACCCATGTGGGGAATCGAACCCGGGCCTGACGAGCGAACGCTTTAACCGCTCGGCTACCCCACCGCCCCTGGACACTAAATTATTTATGAAACCGATATTTAGTCACATTTGACCATGATAGGTATCAGTGTGCAGATGATGAGGTGGTGGAAACTATACCTCTGACATCGGCGACGTGGAATTGGTTTCGGTGTCGTTGACCATGCACACGATGGCGACGCTCAGGTTGGTACGGGCGGAGTAGAGCATGATGCATCCGAAGCAGCCAACATATGCAAGTAGCCATCGTTGTGAACACAGGCACGGTACTATAATGGAATACAAGCGCGGCTTGAACATTTGAAGAAAAAGGGATTTTTTTCGAAAATGCGTCCGGGCGTGCACGTGTAAGAGGAGATTGCACCGATAATGCATACATGCTAACTGCCGAGCAAAAGAAACTGTATTTCATGTGAATCAATGGCAGTGCTGAGAAGATACAACTTGAAACAGTGATGTTTTTTTCAGGGGGCGGTGGGGTAGCCAGGTGGTTAATGCGTTCGCTCGTCACGCCGAAGACCCGGGTTCGATTACCCACATGGGTACAAATTGGAAGCCCATTTCTGGTGTCCCCCGCCGTGATATTACTAGATTATTGCTAAAAGCGACATAAAACCGTACTCACTCACTCACTCAGCCACTATTTTTCAGTTCACGGTAAGAAACATCGACCACATGTTCAACTCAATTTTATCCCATGAATGTACCAAGGACAAACTTTTGTCAACAATAGCAGCCTTTGATATACAAAGAGTGCAAGACACAGTCGCAATGAAAAAATGTTATTAAATAGGGAGACAGTGTCACTGCTTAAATCTATCGTGATATCGGGAGATACAGACACTGTTAAATACTGTCATGACATAGGGAGACAGTGTCACTGCTTAAATCTATCGTGATATCGGGAGGGAGACACGGACACTGTTAAATACTGTCATGACTTAGGGAGACAGTGTCACTGCTTAAATCTATCGTGATATCGGGAGACACGGACACTGTTAAATACTGTCATGATATAGGGAGACAGTGTCACTGCTTAAATATATCGTGATATCGGGAGGGAGACACGGACACTGTTAAATACTGTCATGATATAGGGAGACAGTGTCACTGCTTAAATCTATCGTGATATCGGGAGGGAGACACAGACACTGTTAAATACTGTCATGATATATGGAGGCAGTTATAAATGGAGATAAATGGAGATAAGGTAACTGTTAACTATTGTCCTGACATAGTAGGTTTTAAAAACAGTCATGATAAAGTTACTGCCATCTTACACCTATAACATATTGCTTGTCACAGTTATTAATACCAACATCGAGTGCTCGCTGGCAAATTATATAAGTATAGTAAAAACTGTCGTGTTATAGGAAGAGACGTTGGCAACTGTTATGATATAAGGAGAAACTGTCACTCTCAAAAGACCCCTTAAGATTCGGGTAAGAATTGGTCTTCAACAACCCATGCTTGTCGTAAGAGGCGACTAACGGGATCGGGTGATCAGACTCGCTGACTTGGTTGACACATGTCATCGCATCCCAGTTGCATAAATCAATGCGCATGCTGTTGATCACTGGATTGATTGGTCCTGATTCAATTATTTACAGACCGCCGCCATATAGCTGGAATATTGCCGAGCGCGGCGTTAAACAACAAACAAACAAATCACTCTTAAAGCTGCCATGATGAAGGAAGAAACGGTCATAGTTAACAACTGTCATGATTTTGGGTGTGTGACAAAACCAGTTCAAGAAACTCTCAGTCAGGATAAGCATGCTTACCGTCGCCGTCCTTTCCTCCTTTTGGCGTTATCAGAGGGGTAGACTCTGTCATCCTTACTCCCCTCCTAACGTCCGTTCATGTGACGATCCAGTTACACAGTCATGTCATAGGCTGCCTTTAACAAACAAAACACGGTCATCTTACACATGTAACCTAGTACTTGTCACTGTCATGAATACCATCATCGAGTGTACGCATGCGTAAACACTATTTGTGTACTATGCACATACATACATACATACAAACATACATACATATACACATACACAGCGGTACAAAAGACGCATGCCCGGCTTTATTAGATAAATGATATGAGAGGCATGTGATACATACTTGCGATATCTGTGATGAGCAATTTACAGTTTACGTCAATAGGTGGGCTGCGATGCAACTGCATCATGGTGAGTTCTATAAATATAATTACACAATTTTCATATTATTTCACACAATACAGCTTACTAAACCCAGAATGGCTATACCACTGTTATAGGATAGCTATACCTCAGCCGTACCACTGCTGTGTTTAAAAAAAAGAGTCCATTAAAACATGTAAATTATTGAGACACACCTATTCGAAAACACTTGGTTTAAAACTAGTTTAGCTCGGGATCCTTGAGCACATGCTCAGGATGCGGTCTCGATACAGTCCGCTATAGTAGACACTACTGGTTGCTAAGGGAAACCATGGAGAGGGTTTTACTGCTTTGGTTTACTGTGTTAACTGTACAGGTTAAAAATTATGACAGAATGCAAAGCTTCTAGCAAGGCGGATGGATTCACGTTATTTATGACAAAGCATATGATACGTACTGTTAGTAGTAGTAGCAGCAGCAGTAGTAGTGCCAGTAGTAGTAGTAGTAGTAATGCCAGTAGAAGTAGAAGTACTAGTAGTAGTAGTAGTAGTAGTAGTAGTGCCAGTAGTAGTAGTGGTAGTGCCAGTAGTAGTAGTAGTAGTAGTAGTAGTCCAGTAGTAGTAGTAGTAGTAGTAGTAGTAGTAGTAGTAATAGTAGTAGTAGTAGTGGTAGTAGTAGTACCAGTAGTAGTAATAATAGTAGTAGTAGTAGTACCAGTAGTAGTAGTAGTGGTAGTAGTAGTGCCAGTAGTAGTACCAGTAGTAGTAGTACCAGTAGTAGTAGTAGTAGCAGTAGTAGTAGTAGCGCAAATGACAATAGTGTGGCAGGTCTACATTTACAGATTACGCTTGTAAATTAGAAAATGACATTTAGGAATATGTGCTGAAGAAGGCGTTGCACCTAAATAACCTACAGCATTCCACAACTGATATCTCACAGCTGTCCGAAACCCTGCTTACCGTGTCAGCTGCCTGATGACCTGAGTTTAGGGGGTCAAGGTTCAGTATAATCCGTCGATCAGGTGGCTCATGTGACGTCATCGCCCGTCGTGTGTCGGATACAGTGTCATTGCGCCATTTTCATATTATTTCGGGTGGTGACACAATACAGCTTAGTGAACCCAGAGTAATCACACCACTGCTCTAGGATAGCTATATACCTCCACCGTATCACTGTTGTGCCACATCTCCTTCACAGGCGAACAACAGCCATACAACAGATATCCCTGCTACAACACCACAACTATCGCAGTTATGTGTATGACGGGATGAACGCTCATGTTTTCAATGTTTAGCCTATCGCTCGCGTTTGAGTCATACCTGAATCGGCATATTGGACGACACTGCACGGTGATAAGGGTAGTAGCTGACCTGGTTGGGAATAAGACTCCGCGTGACTGTACATTGTAATCACACGAACATCTGTAACAGTCATCTGACTGGGGCTTTTCAGTCAGTGAGGGGCGAGACTTTGAATATGCATGGGTGGTATTGGGTGTATTGTGTAGGCACACTGGTTGATGCTATTCTTGGTTGTTTTCTTGACTTAAAAGCATTTAAGTCTGATGTTAATATCCCTACAAAGTTATTATTAATGTCATTAGATATGTTTTGAAAAATATGTTTCCATCTTATCTGAAAACCCTTCACAAAAGCACAACTGCACACATAGATTCACTCATCCTAGCTTTGTATTTTAAGCACAAAATGTGCTTCACATGAGTTATTAGTCTGCCATACAGACCCTGAAACAAGTATACCCAATACAGCCCATGCAAGTCTAGAATGTGTGGCAAGTCTAGATTACCACAGTTTCTGAAAATGAAGAAAGTCTCTGGGCTCCTTTTTATTGTATTTTATTTGAATTTAAAAACTTTTCTTTCTGAAAAATATGTTCATTTCAGTGGCAAACTGTAATGAGTTATATCAACACTAGAAATCTAGAACCGTTAAAAGTTATTCATCTTTGTTCACTCAAATGTTTCGTTACATTTTCATGTGCAGAGTATATATTGGTTTAACGTAAAAGACACGCCGGTGTTTAGTTTTGTGCGGTTATCGTCTTATGTGTCTGTATTTTCCCATTAGATGTATTAACTCTCTTATATCAATGAACTCATTGTACTTTGTTCTTTATCGAAATACATGAACAGTAGCTTCAACTGATATCGAAAAAATGGTTTAATTCCTGGCAATGTTAATAATAGCATATAATGTTGAAACTTCTCGCATCAAGTAGCATTTCAAATTATCTAAATTATTTAATACTATACATTATTTCGGGAATATCGTATGGGTAAAAAGATGATTGCATAAATTGAATAATAAATATTTTTCTCAAATGTTTTCTCAAGGAAGCAGCATTTCAAGGGTCATGGCACAGCAAAATTCCATATTCTGAGATACATATATTTGTATTGTGTAACGTTATATAAACCTGTCTATTATTAATACTTGCTCTCCTCTCCTGAGTATCTGATCGCGGACTTGTGATTATTTAACTTTACATTAACATGCAGCCAGTCCGGTTCATCCGACGGAATGATAAATCATCCTAACTAATCATTCAAGCATACAAGTTACTCTTGCAGTTATCATTAATCGCACGTAACTTGTCATAATATAAATACGTATACCATTGTTTACAGTCTTTTTATATATTTGGATAGACGCCAGTTGTCATTCTGACCAAAATGTCGGAATCCGGTCATTCCGAAAATATTGTTAACAGTAAGATATTTTCAAAATGTAATTAACTATTCTGTCCTGTATGTTATAAACATGCAAAGACTGGATTAAGATGAAAAACCTGTGCCAGTATTTTGATTGGATCGCGTAAGGATGCCTGTGGTCTGTGGCAGATGGTCTGTGTTGGCCGCCAGAAATGCTGGGTATAATTGTGAAAGTATACCTGTTGTTGATACTAACTGGTTTGTTTGGAGTTACAGGACATTGGAGAATATTGGGAGTTTGTAGTTATTGATAGTGCAAATAAAGGACTGAAACGCTCGTAAAATATCGAGCGCAGAGAAGACCAGGTTGCAGCAGGAAGTGTGATTTAGAGTTATCTCGCTTTGTTGTTCACAAGTACAGGACAGCTTGATCGTTTGTGAGGTTTCGTTACGTGAAGGTTCGCTGTACCTGCATAAAAGCAACGAGCGTCGAGACCTTTAATGACATGAGTAGAGTCGTATCCATGTGCTATGTGCGGATAGGATAGGTACCTGAAAACACCGAATCCCTGCCAGCTCCCAACACTACAATGGATTACAAAACTTGGGCCCTTTTCACTTGACATTTAACAGTAAAATACTGTGGACATTCTGGTTTACAAAAGAAATCTATTGAATGGCTTGTTAGTTATAAAGCTGATGATATTGCATCTGAACCGTTGTTATGGTTCTTGTGATTGTAAAGCCTGAACGATGTGTCTTAATACTGACTGACTGATTGAGTGAATAGGCTTTCATGCCACTTTTAGCAATATTCCAGCAATATCGCGGCGGGGGACAAAATAAATGGGCTTCACACACTGTACCCATGCGGGTAATCGAACCCGGGCCTTCGGCGTGACAAGCGAACGCTTTAACCACTTGGCTACCCCGCCGCCCCGGTGTGTTGTACTATACTTTGTCAATTTTCCATCAGGTCGAGACGTGGTGATATCAGAAAGAATTGTGATTAAAATCCAAAAATGTTTAGGGTATGTAAACCCGATGTCCATTTGTGATGGAATGCTTTGTTTCCTCTATTCCAAATAAAGGGACGAGTTAAATTGGACATAAAGACACAAATGCAAATCACATTAATTCATAAAAAACATGTATTTTTATTGACTAAAAGCTCGATTATAATAGCGAATGTGAGAAAATGACCAGCGCGATTGTTGCATTTATATTGGATGGATGTGTTTTTCTGTCACAGATTGTATTTATAAAAGAAAATATTGAGTCTCAGCTAAACCCTACTTTTCACTCTAAAATTGTACACATTTTCTGTATTAACGAATCCTTGATACGAGACATTTTCATTTGGAGATTGTGGTGATACGTTGAGGTTATCGACAGTAAACGCCTGCCTGATGTGTGGTGTATTTCCCCATATAAGTTGTATTCTGCCCAGGTGAAAACTGTTACAGTTGAGTTGACGTATCTGTCATTTCCTTCTTAGTGTCATCACTATGAAGCGCGTTGCCGGAAACTTCGGGATCGTCCTTCCCCTTCCCCATGTCCACGTCCACGTCCACCTCCACCTGATCCATGGCCCAGGGCTGCAGCTCTCCCCGGGCCAGGGAGCCGAACACCAAAGTTCCTAGAGCACAGAATCCTGCACACACGTAGAAGACGTTCCTCCATTCTTCCTGGGTTTTCTGTTGAGAGAGACAAGGTTCGATTGAGTATGACTGTGTAAACGTGGACAAATTATATGGGTGTTGTCATTAATATACTCTGCAAAAAAAGAAACGGAATAGCATATAAGTTTGAAATATCTGACGGAGTTTTGTTGTCATTAATTCAAAATTTATACTAAATATGAATTTCTTATGTCTGCAAGCATCAGGAGTGATTTGTGAGGGTAGAATAAAGTACACCCAAAATATCGAAAAAGTAGGGGAAATGCAAAGGCGGAACACACAGCATAGCCACAACAACGATGGAAACGTGTTTGGTTCGGTGACGAGTCACGTGTTTTGCTTCTCTGGACAGACGAAAGACGTCGTGTTCACAGACGTCGTGGGGAGCGTTATGCTCGAACCTGCATACAAGAAGTGGACAGGTTTGGTCACGAAAGTGTAATGGTGTGGACCGCCATCCCCCATACCGGTTGAACAGTCTTGGTACACGTCCAGGTCAATTTAACAGCAAAACGTTACACAGATCAGGAATAATCTACTACGTTATATAGTCTCCCTGCACAGATGAAACTCTTCAGGCACAGGTCCTTCCCATTATGCAATGAGCGGTTGTCATGACAACGCCTGACCTCACATTGGGGTGGGGTAAAGTCCCAATTAGAAATAATTAGAAATAATCCTTTGGCGAACGAGATGACGTAATGGATCAAGGGTCAGGATCGTTGCCTTCTACAAAACGTAACCGTAACCTATCGTTCACTTACGTTTGGAGTTAGGGCACCTGCTAGCAGTGGAGCCACCATCCCAGGGACTGTCGCCGCCGCGTTATCAAGTCCGAACAATATACCGGCGTATCTGGAACATAACTCCACTCACGGATACCCATGCATACAAACATGATCTAAACTGACGCACAGAAGAAAGTACACCATGTTTGTCACTTGTAAGTTACAATCAAAACACGTTTCAAAACATTTACGTTGATTTTTCAAAAACTGTCCCAAAGCAACAGGCGTGTACTTTCTTCTGTGCGTCAGTTCATGTCAGATAAATGGCACTCAGATGCCCGTGCGGTTTTCGTAACAAACATGCCAAACAGAATTTTGAAATGACGTAAGATATACCAGTTTCGTTCTTGGTAAAACGACAGAAAAAACTTACCAATCACATATGAAAATTACATCACGTTTTTCAGTGAGCATATAAATTATTATTACGTTTCTATTTTAATGTGGCGCGGTGGTGTAGCCTAATGGTTAAAGTGTTCGCTTTCTGTGTTAAGCCCAGTTCTGGTGTACCCCGCCGTGATGTTGCTGGAATATTGCTAAAAGCGGCGTAAAACCACACTCACTCACTCGCTCATTCGATTTCAAAACTGAAACAAGTCAACGGAAGTGACGTAAAATAAGTTTGAAACCATCGAACAAAAAGAATTAAAAAGTTGTATTAAAGAATTACAGTAAAATTACGTTTATAACGAAACTTGCTCCGACGACTTGCTTTATAAGTGGAAATACTTTTGACAAACTACTATTACAGCAAAATTACACCCAATTAGTCGTGCATCTGAGTTGACTGTAACTGAGTGTCCTGCAAAGTAATTACGATGATATACGCAATAGAGAGGCAGTAAAACATTTAATGGCTATACAGTTACAATCAGTAACAGTCTTCGTTATTGAACCTTCTATAGTATGTGTGAGTGGTCTATTTCTCCAAGTGTAAAGATACTAAATGTCGACAACGTAGCACGGGCAGAACGTTACAATCAGTAAGTCTTCGTTATTGAACCTTCTATAGTATGTGTGAGTGGTTCTATTTCTCCAAGTGTAAAGATACTAAATGTCGACAACGTAGCACGGGCAGAACGTTACAATCAGTAAGTCTTCGTTATTGAACCTTCTATAGTATGTGTGAGTGGTCTATTTCTCCAAGTGTAAAGATACTAAATGTCGACAACGTAGCACGGGCAGAACGTTACAATCAGTAACAGTCTTCGTTATTGAACCTTCTATAGTATGTGTGAGTGGTATATTTCTCCAAGTGTAAAGATACTAAATGTCGACAACGTAGCACGGGCAGAACGTTACAATCAGTAAGTCTTCGTTATTGAACCTTCTATAGTATGTGTGAGTGGTCTATTTCTCCAAGTGTAAAGATACTAAATGTCGACAACGTAGCACGGGCAGAACGTTACAATCAGTAAGTCTTCGTTATTGAACCTTCTATAGTATGTGTGAGTGGTCTATTTCTCCAAGTGTAAAGATACTAAATGTCGACAACGTAGCACGGGCAGAACGTTACAATCAGTAAGTCTTCGTTATTGAACCTTCTATAGTATGTGTGAGTGGTTATATTTCTCCAAGTGTAAAGATACTAAATGTCGACAACGTAGCACGGGCAGAACGTTACAATCAGTAAGTCTTCGTTATTGAACCTTCTATAGTATGTGTGAGTGGTCTATTTCTCCAAGTGTAAAGATACTAAATGTCGACAACGTAGCACGGGCAGAACGTTACAATCAGTAACAGTCTTCGTTATTGAACCTTCTATAGTATGTGTGAGTGGTTATATTTCTCCAAGTGTAAAGATACTAAATGTCGACAACGTAGCACGGGCAGAACGTTACAATCAGTAAGTCTTCGTTATTGAACCTTCTATAGTATGTGTGAGTGGTCTATTTCTCCAAGTGTAAAGATACTAAATGTCGACAACGTAGCACGGGCAGAACGTTACAATCAGTAAGTCTTCGTTATTGAACCTTCTATAGTATGTGTGAGTGGTTATATTTCTCCAAGTGTAAAGATACTAAATGTCGACAACGTAGCACGGGCAGAACGTTACAATCAGTAAGTCTTCGTTATTGAACCTTCTATAGTATGTGTGAGTGGTTATATTTCTCCAAGTGTAAAGATACTAAATGTCGACAACGTAGCACGGGCAGAACGTTACAATCAGTAAGTCTTCGTTATTGAACCTTCTATAGTATGTGTGAGTGGTTATATTTCTCCAAGTGTAAAGATACTAAATGTCGACAACGTAGCACGGGCAGAACGTTACAATCAGTAAGTCTTCGTTATTGAACCTTCTATAGTATGTGTGAGTGGTTATATTTCTCCAAGTGTAAAGATACTAAATGTCGACAACGTAGCACGGGCAGAACGTTACAATCAGTAAGTCTTCGTTATTGAACCTTCTATAGTATGTGTGAGTGGTCTATTTCTCCAAGTGTAAAGATACTAAATGTCGACAACGTAGCACGGGCAGAACGTTACAATCAGTAAGTCTTCGTTATTGAACCTTCTATAGTATGTGTGAGTGGTCTATTTCTCCAAGTGTAAAGATACTAAATGTCGACAACGTAGCACGGGCAGAACGTTACAATCAGTAAGTCTTCGTTATTGAACCTTCTATAGTATGTGTGAGTGGTTATATTTCTCCAAGTGTAAAGATACTAAATGTCGACAACGTAGCACGGGCAGAACGTTACAATCAGTAAGTCTTCGTTATTGAACCTTCTATAGTATGTGTGAGTGGTCTATTTCTCCAAGTGTAAAGATACTAAATGTCGACAACGTAGCACGGGCAGAACGTTACAATCAGTAACAGTCTTCGTTATTGAACCTTCTATAGTATGTGTGGTGGTCTATCTCCAAGTGTAAAGATACTAAATGTCGACAACGTAGCACGGGCAGAACGTTACAATCAGTAACAGTCTTCGTTATTGAACCTTCTATAGTATGTGTGAGTGGTCTATTTCTCCAAGTGTAAAGATACTAAATGTCGACAACGTAGCACGGGCAGAACGTTACAATCAGTAAGTCTTCGTTATTGAACCTTCTATAGTATGTGTGAGTGGTCTATTTCTCCAAGTGTAAAGATACTAAATGTCGACAACGTAGCACGGGCAGAACGTTACAATCAGTAAGTCTTCGTTATTGAACCTTCTATAGTATGTGTGAGTGGTCTATTTCTCCAAGTGTAAAGATACTAAATGTCGACAACGTAGCACGGGCAGAACGTTACAATCAGTAAGTCTTCGTTATTGAACCTTCTATAGTATGTGTGAGTGGTCTATTTCTCCAAGTGTAAAGATACTAAATGTCGACAACGTAGCACGGGCAGAACGTTACAATCAGTAACAGTCTTCGTTATTGAACCTTCTATATATGTATGTGGAGTGGTCTATTTCTCCAAGTGTAAAGATACTAAATGTCGACAACGTAGCACGGGCAGAACGTTACAATCAGTAAGTCTTCGTTATTGAACCTTCTATAGTATGTGTGAGTGGTCTATTTCTCCAAGTGTAAAGATACTAAATGTCGACAACGTAGCACGGGCAGAACGTTACAATCAGTAAGTCTTCGTTATTGAACCTTCTATAGTATGTGTGAGTGGTCTATTTCTCCAAGTGTAAAGATACTAAATGTCGACAACGTAGCACGGGCAGAACGTTACAATCAGTAACAGTCTTCGTTATTGAACCTTCTATAGTATGTGTGAGTGGTCTATTTCTCCAAGTGTAAAGATACTAAATGTCGACAACGTAGCACGGGCAGAACGTTACAATCAGTAACAGTCTTCGTTATTGAACCTTCTATAGTATGTGTGAGTGGTTATATTTCTCCAAGTGTAAAGATACTAAATGTCGACAACGTAGCACGGGCAGAACGTTACAATCAGTAAGTCTTCGTTATTGAACCTTCTATAGTATGTGTGAGTGGTCTATTTCTCCAAGTGTAAAGATACTAAACGTCGACAACGTAGCACGGGCAGAACGTGTTTGCGTAGTCTGTCTCACAGTCGCCGAACCATAATATTTTCCCTATAGCCAAGCCCTCCCTGCAATGCTAAAACCCAAAATGAAGCAAGTCTAGATTTCTCCAGGTTCAGGAACTCTGGTCTCCCTGGGGCTCCTTTTCAATTAAAATGGGTTTATTTGTTACAATCAAAATTATATAGTCTCCCAAAAAAGAAACGCATCATGAAAATAGCAATTTCATGTAGCAATGAATTAAAACGTGATTCATTTTACAAAAGGTTTTGCTCTGTTTATGAGTCCTATGGTGTTTCTGTTTTGAAACATCACAACAAAACGCACCATCCGTAAAATACCCGTTTTTAACTGCATGATTTTCAATTTCGGCGTGTAGTGTCACAGAATACACAATTCACATGCAATGCACGTGAACGTTGGGGATCAGATAGTCTCAATGATGGGTATAAAAGGTTGATCGCTGTCTGTCGATTATTCACTGTATTTGGAATATTGTTGACGAACGCAAAATGCCACGTCTAAGTGAAGCCAACCGTCATATCGCCATTTGTTTGCTTGAAGCTGGCCAGTCTCAACGTGCAGTTGCCCGACGCATGAATGTTCACCAAAGCACCATTTCACGGCTTTGGGAGAGATATCGCCGGCAGAATGAGGTAGCAGATGCCCCTCGTAGTGGGCGACCTCGAGCGACCACTGCGGCGCAGGATCGCTACATCCGGGTACATCACCTGCGTCATCGAACAGCTACGGCGACCAGTACCGATCGACAAATACCCGGATTGGGGAGGCTTTCTGCACAGACCGTCAGGAACAGGTTGAGAGAGGCTGGTGTACGTGCCAGAAGACCCTATTTTGGCCCTGTGCTTCGACAACAACATCGTCGACATCGAGTTCAATGGTGCACCAACGTTCAGGCCTGGAACCTACCGAATTGGCGTTGAATCTGGTTCAGTGATGAATCACGATTTCTATTGGAACGACGCGATGGCAGAATGCGGGCGTACAGACGTCGATGTGAACGTTTCGCCGACGCTTGCGTTCCCCAGGTTGACAGATTCGGCCGGGAAAGTGTTATGATGTGGGGAGAGATCACCTGCCGTAGGAGAAGTGATTTGGTGATGATCCAGGGCAACCTGACAGCTCAACGGTACTGTGACGAAATCCTACGCCCACACCTCCTTCCAATCATTGATCGCCAGAGGGAATTGTTTCAACAGGACAATGCCAGGCCCCACACAGCACGTCACACTAGAGACTTCCTCCAGAACCACAACATCAATGTGCTCCCCTGGCCCTCAAGATCACCGGACTCAAACCCGATCGAACATCTGTGGGATGCCCTGGAAAGACGGGTGCGACGCCGTAACCCTCAGCCCCAGACACTTCAGCAACTCGCACAGGCACTACAGGCAGAGTGGGCTGCGACTGGGCAACTAGAGATTCTGAGACTTATTCGTTCGATGCCGAGGCGATGCCGTGCAGTTCTGGATGCCCACGGTGGTCACATGAGGTATTGACTTCAGCGCCACCACACGTCTCCATGTGACACTCAAACTGACTTTCCTCGAGTTGGTGCCAAAGACGGATAAGTCTGCATTCCCAGTGTGCAATTTCGCTATATTTCATCGACTCATAAAGCCTACAAGATGTTTCAAAATAAACATAAAAATACAGTTGAAATTCCTATATGCGTTTCTTTTTTGGGAGAGTATATATATTCAGAGACTAAGCGTTAGTCTGTTTTTCTTAACGCTGTGTCCCCTCGGTTAAATATGTTAACTTGTACGCATAACAACTTGATAGTTTCTAAACAACTTTGATGAGAGCACAGCATCAGATATTGTTGGTAACTGGGTATTCAGAGGTGGACAGCTACTAAAATTCAACTTGATGAGTGAATGTCTGTCTAATCTGTTTGTCTGTATACAAGAGTAGTTATTGAGCTTTCAAAACAATAACATGGAATTGGATTCGTAACTTGTATTTCTATGTCAGGTACACACCAATATCAAAGTCAAAGAAAAATACAAATTCTAAACATCCCTAATAGCAAACTCAGCAGTTGACAACCTGTTTTTCGTTGGTGCAAAGTTTCATGAAATAATATATTGTACTCTTTCGAGATATGGTCCTGACAAACACAACACTATGAACAGAGTCAAAATGAAACTTGCTGCCATGGAAACGGACAAAACATAAATTCTTAACGACCCAAGTAGCACAAGGCACCATTTGACAACCTGGGGTTCCTTTCACGAAGCAAACTTTACTAAGGTTAACCTTAACTCCCATTCTTTAACATTGCACTATGGATACCTTAGTGACTTACGATCACCTTCGTGCTTTGTGAAAGGAGCCTAGGTCTTTGTGTGCACACAGTACCATGCAGGAATACCTATTACGAAGTCCACCCCTCCCTTTTGAGACTATTTGAGAGTAGGTCTAAAATGTTTCCATGGAAATCAAGAAAAAAGAAATGACACAAATCTGTAAAGTGCAAAAGGCACCACTATAGATTCTGTTTGATTTAGTTTTGTTGAAAAGCAGTGCTCAGTTTTTTAGTTATGCTCCGGTAACGAAATGATTACGGACGGACGGACGGAAGGATAGACAGACAAGACGTTGACCGAAGCGTTTCCAGTTTTAAATAAAACAAGAAATAGAAATCCTACCTTGGAGCGAAGTCGACAGTGTTGACAACATACCCAGCCGACGCAAATCCAACAAACCACATTGCTATCGTCAACAAAACTATAGCAACATAGCGGTGTTCCACATCCACAAACCCTGTCCCGATCAGGCACGCAGCTGCTCCTATGAAAGCTAAAAAGGAAAATAATGTTGTGCATAAAATGTCAGATTTTATTAAATTACACAACAAGCGCAATGCAACCAATTTGTCTGGAAAACAACTCGGGTGATTTCCATCGTCTTTGTTTTATAACCACAATGGGTGTTACTCCGTACCAATGATTTGCCGATCCGGAAATTTAATAACTCTGACGATTTAGTTCTGATTGCAACCATCCAGGGTAACGGGGTGTCGCCCAGTCTGGTTCCCGGGGTCTGCTGCGCTAACGCTTCAGCATCGAAGCGTTAACGCAGCATGACCCGGGAACCAGGCTGGGTGTCGCCGTACATATGTGGATATTGAAAAAGTATATGCAACACAATCATGTAGGCAAAGTGAGGATGATGCAAAATGAGAGGAAGTCAAGTGAAATGTTGGCAAAATGAATGGGTGGCAAAATGCCAACTATGTGACAATCCTCTGATCGATATTACGAACAACGACCAACGTCGTCGGATCCGATGACACACAATCAATCAGATCACCGATCCTAAGCATTGATATATCTTCCTTAAAAGGTTATTTGGTTTGTTGTTTATCGCCGCACTCAGCAATATTCCAGGTATATGGCGGTGGGTTGTACATAATCGAGTCTGGACCAGACAATCCAATGATCAACATCATGAGTATCGTTCTATGGATACGATGACATGCATCAACCAAGTCAGCGAGCCTGACCACTCGATCCCGTTAGTCGCCTCTTACGACAAGCATGGGTTGCTGAAGACCAATTCTACCCGGATCTTCACGGGTTCTTTAAAAGGTAATGATAATACATAATGAATAAGTGTTGACGACCAACACCCTATGCAAAAACGTTAATGTCTATAAACCTTTACGTCAAACAATCCGATAGTTTGCTGCACGTTAGGTGTCGTAAAATTCTTGACACTTTCAAGGAGGGTCAATTAATCTTTGTGAATCCGTATTTCTGTCAATTTGATTGATTCTGCTTTTCACACAGTTGTGATTGACTTACAATTGTCCAGTGTGTGTGATCTGGCGATATAAAGGGTTGTGGTCATACCGGTAGAAGCCAATGGTCAATACGTTCCACGTGGTTAGCAGGCTATGGAACTGGTATAAACAAGCCCAACATGTTGATGATCGACTCTGTCCAGTGATAAGACCCGAGACCCTATCCACAAAACGTTCGTTGCACTTTGCCATTCGTAACCCTATGATAAAGTATAGAGTTACGATAGGTCGTAACGTTACGAAAGTTTCGTGGATCGACCCATTTCAACGACACGAGTACAGGATCGACTGATCCGAAACCTGGCTTTGCAAAATCGAGCTCAAACGGCGCATTAAATGGCAGCAACCCATCATATGGCCCCGGAGGTTCGCGTTACGGGTGCGGCGATTAGAAATTGTATCGTTTGTTACATTTGGGATTACACTTTCTCAGTTATGCACATAGTCTAATACTTTTGGGTAGTTGAGTCCCATCCCGGATTCGAACCCGCACATTCGGAGTCATGCACCTTATAGCCAGTCTGGTCCAGACAATCCAATGATCAACATCATGAGCATCGCCATTTTGGATACGATGACATGGATACGAACCCGCACATTCGGAGTTACGCACCTTATAGCCAGCTCACCACAAAGTCAGCGATTGGACCCACTCAGACTACGCGTTTTTCACAAACATCGTAATCTGACAACTGTTTGTTTAAATGTATTTTGTGTAGTCCACTTACAAGTGATTTCATGATTATCAACGTTCGACGGCCACGCCCCTTACACATCGCCATTTTGCTATCAGAGGTCAATGGTGTACACAAAGCATGTAGAGACGGCTGTAATCTTTACAGGTCACGTGTTATATTTACATAAGTCCCAATCTACGTTGCATTCCATAATAGACATGGCCGTGTCCAGCAACGTCGATATGAACGTAACGCCAGTGTCAACCTGAGACCTCCTGATTTTGCGGTGGATCGTTTATGGTGTTGGGGCTTCACTATAACTTACTTACAATAATGAGCTCAGACTATTGAACACCTGTGGTTCATGATTATGATAGTAGTGGTGGTCCGATTAGTTGAAATAATTGAAGATTGGTCGCAATGACTAAACAACCAAGCAATCGATCACGCATTCTCATAATCGAACACAAACAATTTTGGACCACTAGTTTGCATTAACAACATTTTTCACACGGTTGTTTTTGGTTACATTTCATAAGCACCACAAGCTCGTTCCTTGTCATGATTGAATTTTTCTTAAAGACTCCAGGGAATTTCCTAACATATGTGACATTTATAAATGCATTTTGTGCAATTTGCAAAGAAAACACCCTGCAAGAACTACATATTTGATTCTATATCTTTGGTGCATTAACAACATAACCAGGAAAATTTGATAAATGACGTTAACCACCTCTGGTTCATGATAGCGAGACGTTTGTGTCAACGTAGTAGTAGTAGTAGTAGTGGTAGTGGTAGTGGTAGTGGTAGTGGTAGTAGTAGTAGTAGTAGTAGTGGTAGTAGTAGTAGTGGTAGTGGTAGTAGTAGTAGTAGTAGTAGTAGTAGTAGTAGTAGTGGTAGTGGTAGTAGTAGTAGTAGTAGTAGTAGTAGTAGTAATAGTAGTAGTAGTAGATGCTACTGGTATGTTTGGAAAAAGCATTTAGGTTTGAAACTGTTGAAAAACAGGAATCGTCCGCCACAAAAGCAAATTGTTGAAAAGAGTTTTTAAGGAAGATAATTAGCTCAAACAGATAATCTCAATATAGTTCCAGGCCAAATGCTAGAAAAGTCCGTATCTTTTAGGATCCCTCAAAAACACTAAAAGTGTTATCTAGTAGTTAGTAGTAGTAGTAGTAGTAGAACCACTCCCACCCGCTGCATGAGTATTGACAACATGGTCTAATAGGCGGCGACAAACACTGGTGTTCAATATGGTCTAATGGACGGCGACAAACACTGGCGTTCAATATGGTCTAATGGACGGCGACAAACACTGGTCTTCAACATGGTCTAATGGACGGTGACAAGCACTGGTGTTCAACATGGTCTAATGGACGGCGACAAGCACTGGCGTTCAATATGGTCTAATGGACGGCGACAAGCACTGGTGTTCAACATGGTCTAATGGACGGCGACAAACACTGGTGTTCAATATGGTCTAATGGACGGCGACAAGCACTGGTGTTCAACATGGTCTAATGGACGGCGACAAGCACTGGTGTTCAATATGGTCTAATGGACGGCGACAAGCACTGGTGTTCAACATGGTCTAATGGACGGCGACAAGCACTGGTGTTCAATATGGTCTAATGGACGGCGACAAGCACTGGTGTTCAACATGGTCTAATGGACGGCGACAATCACTGGTGTTCAATATGGTCTAATGGACGGCGACAAGCACTGGTGTTTAACATGGTCTAATGGACGGCGACAAACACTGGTGTTTAACATGGTCTAATGGACGGCGACAAGCACTGATGTTCAACATGGTCTAATGGACGGCGACAAGCACTGGTGTTTAACATGGTCTAATAGGCGGCGACAAGCACTGGTGTTCAATATGGTCTAATGGACGGCGACAAGCACTGGTGTTCAACATGGTCTAATGGACGGTGACAAGCACTGGTGTTTAACATGGTCTAATAGACGGCGACAAGCACTGGTTTTCAACATGGTCTAATGGACGGCGACAAGCACTGGTGTTCAACATGGTCTAGACATGCAGTATGGGGGGTAATGCCGGGTGTATCATATTACCTGATTTGGATGCTATCATTTGGCTTAGGAGTAAATCTAAAATCCCCACAAACACCCACATTCCTGCCGTTCTCAGACAACGAACATTCAATGATCAGTCACTTGCATAGTTGGCCAACAAATAAAACTGCTTATGTTAAACACTGTTGCAGACATATGGTTGTAACCAAATTACAATTGACAAAAGAAGGAAGGCAATGGAAATAATTTAGATTTTACCAACCCATTCATACCGTAAATAACAGACTCTACTCACTGGTTGGTGGCAGTACAATTCGCCTTTCTGATTAACATACTTGGTCATCAATTTTGTACATAAAAATATTAAAATATCATGCTGAAAAATTATGGGAAGGGGAAGGGGTGGGTGATGGGGGTAATTGATTTATTACATGACATGCAGTGGGAGGTCACTTACTTTGTATATACATTGGGGGTGGTGTGTGTGGGGGGTGTCATTCACATTGTACATGTCTCCATAAAAATCATCACATTGTCCGATATTATAGGGTTATGTGCACAGACCCATGGACTGGAAGATCCTCCGGGTGGCCGTGGTGCTGAGGTATTTCCTTGACCGGACGTAGTCTGCAACTTGTCCAGCCAACATCCCGGATACGGCCTGGCTCAGATAGGGAATGGCCGACAGCAAGCCGTTCTTGAAAAGATAATCAAAGAGATGTCATTAAGAAATTCCACGATTGACACAATGCACACATCTTGCAATTCTGAGTGAAAATATTTTGGAAATATATCCCGAGTTAGCAATATTCTTTCAATAACGAGTCAACATTGTATCATAGTGGAGAATCGACTTCCGGTCTTCACTGTGACAAGGTCAACTCAGTGACCTCAACAGTTAGGATTTCAGAGCAGCAAATATGGTTTTCTGAAGTTGAATTTGTTATGCTATGTTCAATGAATGCTATATCATAACGAACATGGTTTAAAATTATATTTCTTTCCACTTCTGTGGAAATACCCATTGGTCGAATGAAATTATATACTTACCTCGGCAATGTTAAAATCCAGCACTTCTTTCTGGAACGTTGGTATGTTGGTCAACAGCGTGTATGTTATCCAGTTGGAACACACTTGTGCAGCTAGACACGCCCATGTCGCCGGGGACTTCAGCAAGGCGGCCCACGGTGTTGAGAACCTCTGTATAACACAGTAATAGTTCATGTGTAAACTGAAGGAAGCATCACTTGAATCACTGGAAATGGGATCAATTCGTCCTTTCGGGGCTCGTTCATTCTTCTTCAGCAGTCAGCAGGTGTTTTAGTTGATGGATAATTGCTCTATTTTGTAAAACGAACTTTAGAGTTGAATGGCCCTTTACGGTCATGCTATGACTGTTGAGGTTGTTTCAAGTAAAAGAAGCACTGGTCATTCATTCTGGAAAAGTAGAAGCAACGCAGCATACTGTCATTCTTCAAACTTATAGAGAACGTATATATGTCAACCATAACATGGTCTAAGTCGAGGAAATCACTCAAATCTTTGGATTCCAAAAGTAGAATCAAACTCGCGCTTCCGGAGAGCGATGATTCTTCTTTCGGATTCAACATAATTTTATTCTATTCTGCAACAGCCATTCTGATAATGAAAAAAGAATGTTTTGTTAAGGAAGCATTCGTTGTAATATATACCTACAAGAGCACGTAATTTAAAAAAAAAATTCAACCAAAGTCAAGAATCAATTGGTATTGGTATGGAGAAGGATGTTCAATGGGAATTATCAGTGTATGAAATAAGGCCCGCCCGACCGCCCGAGACGGTTTAGATTTCTGACGGACGGTCAAAATTTACAGCTAGCCAGCCAGATGGTCTGGTAAAATTTTTAGATGTTCCATACATCTGTGTAAATTCACCATATTTGGTCTGGTTAAATCCATTTTGGGCTGGTAACATTTTGAAGTTACTAGCCCTGATGTCTGGCTGGATGTTTGGCATACCCGAAGGGAATGGATTATGTAACATTCCTGTCCAAGTCTATTATTAGCGACACGCCCTTTCGGGTCGAAGGGAGATAACTCTAAATACCGGAAGTGATCTCGAAGTCAGTCAATGTCAGTTGGGGTAGAAGTCTTTATTTTGCTGAGTGTCTGGTAAGTGATGAACTGTTTCGTAGATGTCGATGGGATAAGGATGTTAGGCTGTAAGTGTCTGGTAAGTGATGAACTGTTTCGTAGATGTCGATGGGATAAGGATGTTAGGATGTAAGGTTGCATTTTCAGCCTGTATCCTGAATAAACAAGTCGTGTTGTTCTATTTTTCAGGATCACAGCGGAGAACACCAAGAAAGTCTTTCACACAGTGTGACACACTGCACCCATACGGAGAAATGAACCAGATTCTTCCGTGTGATAAGGACACGCTTGGGCCTATAATCCTTAAAGTTAATCGTTCGTCCCTATTAAAAGTCAAAGGTCTATAAATATTTATGTTAAGCAAATATATAATATATTTCAATAACGTGGGTATGGACGATAGGCTACCTCTTGTTTTTCCCTATACTAGAGATAATATAGTTCCTCTCTCTCTCCGTGATACGAGGGTGTTCAGCCGGTGTGCTGGCGACCGTTATATACCACAGCCCGCACCATAGCAGCGATATACCACCTGTAGACAGGAGATAAAACAGACTGGGTTACAAAGTAACTGGTATCAGTTTGTAATCGGATTATTAACATTCATTAATATCAAAGATTTAATAACAATTTCGTAATTTCCTTCTTGCTAAAAGATAGGTCCTATGCGTTGAATGATGTAGATCTGTTTTATGATGTCTTTTCTGACAGCAATGAGTTTTCTTTTTCTTGTATAAGGTAGTAAGTGGGCGAGTTCAACCATGCCTTAACCAGAGATGCCAACCCATACGATTTTATCGTATTCGTTACGAAAAACAACACAAAATACACGACTACGATAGCAGTAAAAATATACGATTTTTAAAGAAATACATTACATTAATTTTTTAAATAGCATACGTACCATACACAATAAATTTCGATCACATTATATTCAGTATCAAGCTATATGTGGATACGTACTACTGATTTAGTTGAGTAAAACGTTAATAACAAGATCTTAGACTATATATTTAATTTTTTTATTTAATATGAAATTTCTTTGGAAAAGTTAATACTAATTTTGGCCAACATATACTAATCTTTTAATCAGCTTTTGGCCAAAATACTAAATTGGGCCAAATTAGGGTTGGCATCTCTGCTTAACTCGATTGTTTACAGACCGCGTTGTGCAGCTGTAATACTGTTGGATGCGGCGCCAAACACATACTCATGATACAGACAAAATTGCACAATATACTTTGCATTTGGCAGAGATTTCTCACGAAAGTGTAAAGGGTTTTGTCGTTTCTATACTCTTAAACAATGTATCGGTTATAATTATCTGTTTGAAATATAACTTTGGTTTGTTTCTTAGTTGTCTAACGCCGCAATATCCCAGCTAAATGGCGGCAGTCTGTAAATAATTGAGTCTGGACGAGACAATCCACTGATTGAAAGCATGAGCATCATCCACGCTGTTGGGAGACGATGACATGTGTCAACCAAGTCAGCGAGCCTGACCACCCGATCCCGTTCGTCGCCTCTTACGACAAGCATGGGTTACTAAAGACCAATTCACGGGTTTGAAATATAACTAATTAAGGTAATCCTGTCATCAGGGCTCTACAGTATTAAGAATGTTTTATGGACATAATGGGCGGATATCAGGAACACTAAGCTACTAAGTAAGTTTCATATGAAGAACACTTCGTTCAATTTGAAGTTAAGAGATAATTGTGAAGGATACTTGGTTATAATAAACTATTTTTGAGGAATAGTAATTGAACTGGAAATGAATCTGTTCACTTCTTAATCGGAATGTTTTTCTTACTTACCTGTAACGTAGAAGATGGATCCCCAGCCGTTGTCGAAGCCATATATGCACATGAACCCCGATATAGCGAACGTTGCTATGCTGCCAAACTGAGTTCCTGGAATTTAGAATATGATATGAAGCCAGGCTTCTAATTCTGTCTGTGACAAATAATCCAGACAGTCTTTTAACAAGATAGATTTCATGATTGACAGTTTTGAAAAAAAATACTGTTACATGTTTACACGCCGTTTTGCTACTTTTGGTACAAACGCTCTATCCGCTCGACCGCAGGGGCAGTTGAAATATACACCTGGAAAAAAGTTAAGTACTCCTAAATATTGAACACAAACAGAACTGGGATTGAGAAATTATTGAAAGTGTATTTGGTGGAACGTATCTCCCAAATCCAACCTGTGGAGCATGTCCAGAAGCAAATCCACGACTTTTCACACGTGCACTTTGTACACCTGCCACATGGCGGTGTTTAATCTGCTTGGGGCTAAAATGTTCGATTATTTGTCTGCCACTATGGTACGCAAAAGATTATCAGGTGACCAGAGGCGGAATGTATAACTCCTGTATGTACTAAAAAGTCGTTTGGTCAGAAAATACAGGGAAACCATGTGGATGTACAACCCAGGGTAACGTCAGATCGTTAAGGCAGGGCAATATTGAGGCTCACTCGACGACACCCATTCGCCACAAGCATTGGTCTGAAGCACCAACTGGTCTTTTCGAGAGCTGTCCGGAGTCTCCTACGGAGAGCCGGGTACAACCCAAGAACGGTTATCAAACGTCCTCAACTGAGCGATCATTACCAACGAGCACGTTTGACTTCGTGTTTACCAGGACAAAGCTGGAATCTGAGGAATTGAATACATTGGTCTGATGAAAGCCGGTTCCTTCTTTGTGTAACTAATAAAACGCTTGAGAGTTTGGGGGCAGCGAAATATAACATTTGCAGCAGAAAAATATTCAACCAACAGTTGCCTTTGGTCGTGGTGTGGGAATATGTCATGACTGTAACCTTGACTTCGTGGCAATGCATGGGAATGTATATCCCTTAAGTGCTGGATTCAGTTGTTTTCCATTTTGATAATCATCCTCTTGCAACAAGACCTGCATTTATGGATGACAACCACGCTGTTCGAATTCTCGTGCAGAGAGAGTGGGGGTTGGGGGGTCATGCGACTCAGGGCACAGACAATATACCAAGCACGTGCAGGGCACACTATATATATTGATTTATGACGTTCCTATGTTACAAATACACCTTTGTTCCACTTCCATTATAAGAACATTGAAAGAAACTGACTTTTTGTGTTTTCTTGTAGGCAAGACATGATCTTACAGAAAAAACATGCAGCTTCACCAACGTACTGTGCGTGCACACCAAAGATAGTCGAAACATAGAAGTTTCTAAAAAGAAGTACCGGGGGTGCTTAACTATTTTCCAACAAAAACCAGAAAACTCCCGAGAACAAGAAGTTTGAGTCAAAGCATTTTGCTAATTGCTGTTGCCACTTTTGTAACACCATGTATTGACATTTTCTTTTAAACCCTGAAACTGTGTTTTGATATAATTGATAAATCATCCATACTGATGTGACATTTTAGTTGACAAAGCAGATTTCCAGGTTAACCTCTGTGTTTCAATTTGAATAAAAAACACACCTGGCAACACAGGTCAGAGTTAGCGATGTTGTGCATCGGTTTTGGTTTGAGCAGACAACAACGCCATTATGTCCTTTCTGTGTGCATAAAATCTGTGAAAAACATTTCATCTAAATTACCTGAATAGCAGACGGCAGTGAGTTTTGTCCTCTCTAATGGCGGCGCCCATCGGCCCCACATGGATTGTAGACTCGGAAAGTAGACTCCCTGGGGAGAGTAAACTTTAAAATTTAGTAAGCAGGAAGTTGTATTCATGAAGTTCATCAGCAAACACCACTTGAAGGTTTTTATTGACAGATACATAAAAAACAAGTTAAACACATAACCTCATTATTCAACTACATTGTATGCAGGTGTAACCGGAGTGGTCTTGTATATAGGTCCATTCCCATTAATGACTACTCCCAGTTTGACTACCTGCCCAATACACAACCTGTTCCAGTCGAGTGGTGTTTAATTACTAGCTCTCCCCTCTATCAGGTAGACTGTCACACCAACCATCAGGTAGACTGTCACAATTTATTCAGCTAAGTACATAGATAACACTATATAAACAATTATAGCTGTACCAGGTTCATACAACATTTATTCAGCTTCTTCTTCTTCAGTATATTTACAAGAAATTGTTTTGCCACCCAGCCTGCTGCAGGAACAAATTCAATGGGCGACTTCTGTTGTCTCTGGAGCTGATCCTGCAGAGGCGAGCATCTATCTCTCTGTACATCATTTTCCTGGGTGACGCAGAAGTTCCATGGTCCTGTCTCCTGTTCATTGCCTCGATGCTCTTGATTGCCTCGATGAATTCAAAGATGTTAGGGTGACCGTGTCTGATGCTCTGGTTGGGTGAGTAATGACAACCTTCAAGATAGTTCTGCAACAGCAGCAGCATCAACAGGTAGTTGGTGGAACTCTTCATTGTAGATCTGGGGCATTGGAGTTGACTCATCCCTGGCTCTTTTTCTCAGTGTGCTCTTGAGTCTAGCTGTGGGTGGATTGTCGGGCCCGTGATTGTGCTCTCCAGTAACTGTTCTGATGAAATTTCCAGTTGTTGACAAGTTGCTTCTACATCTTGGAACAACACATTTCCAGTAGTCATCCACATTACTAGACTTGTTAAGCTTATACCGAAATCCTGCATGCAACACTTGTCGGGCTCCTCTCTGTGATACAACAAACTCTGAACACCAACAGCCATAGCTAACTCAAAATCTCTGTGACTGGGTCTTATATACTTGTTGATACCACAAAGACAAATACATTATGTAGATGTCAGTTTAATGGCTATAGTAATGGAAGAAGGCATCAAATTTTCCCATCAGCGGACACCCTCCCCTTTTGACCTGAAAGTTTATTAACTAACCATTGAAACCCTTCCCTCTTTTCTGAGTGTGCAGATACATATATGGAAGGCAATGTGAAAATACAAAACGAAATCTTGGCATGAAGTGGTTATAACAGTGACAAGGTGACCAGATTGTTTGCAGTCAGGGAATTGATCATTGTTGTGTGCACTTTTGTGACTGAGTGAGCAATGGTGATTGAAATGACATTGACCAATGTACCCATGTGGTTAATCGAACCCTGGTCTTCGGCGTGACGAGCGAACGCTTTAACCACTAGGCTACTAGAAGACGGTCATGAGAAATAAATGTTCAGAATACAACATATGTTATATTTCTCACAATCTCTAGTAAACCCTCGTAGTCGTGGTTTCTCCTATACATATACCAACGGATTCGTGGGTTCTTTTAAGTGCACAGGGTTGTGTACTGTACACTAGGGGTTGTGACAACACTGAAAGAGTCTGCACACACAGTTGACTCCAAGGTTTTTACACCCGGTCACAGGTGGGCTCGATCCGGTCACCTCAAGCTCGCTGGATCACTAGCCTGGCGTTTTTGCCAGTTCGCCCACCACATACAGTATCAGGTACCTTCGTGCGTTGAAAACTGGGAATCGAACCCACACTCTGAGTAAGGCGTCTTTCTCTCAGTACACAAAGTCAGGTATCAAACCCACTCAGCCATCGACTTTTACAGATATGGAATAACGGATAACAGTGTTGAAATGGTGACGACTTAGTGGTAACAGTTATAATTGTGGTTTATATTGCACTAACATGTAATGCAATTTTAAGCTTAAAAATAATTTCTACCTGACACACTCCAAGGATCACACGAAGCACATACACCAGGTAGATGGAAGTCCGGGCGCCGATTGGTAGAAGCAGTGAGACGATCGATCCAATGAGCATTCCGATAAACATGACGTACTTTCCGCCATATTTACTGGCCAGTATTCCCGCGGGAATCTGTGTGAATATGTATCCATAGAAATACGCGCTGAGGATTCCTGACTGCTCTCCCTTGGTCCAGTAGAACTCGGCACGCTACAAATATAACGTGTAAAGTACAAGGAAGTATATATTAAGCTTACAAATTCCATCCCTAAAAGTGAGTGAGTTGGGTTTTACGATGCCTTTAGCAATATTTCAGCAATATCACGGCGGGGAACACCAGCAATGGGCTTCACACATTGTTCCCATGTGGGGAATCGAACCCGGGTCTTCGGCGTGACGATCGAACGCTTTAACCACTAGATTACCCCACCGCCCCTCCATCCCTAAAACATATTGACAGATTGTGGATGTGGTTAAACTTGTTGACACTAACTTTATTTGTTGACATTAATAATTCTCGTATACCAGATAGATCCGATACAGGACAAAGCAGGACACTTAAAAAGGTGTCATCGCTGATTTTCAGTGATCCATTCTTCAATATTCACAACTATTTTTCCCTCTTCACCGAACAGAATTCGTTTCTGGGGAAAGTCAATATTGTGTATTCTTTTGCACTGATGCTAAAATAGCACGATGACTTTGGTCTGTGGGGTTGAAGCAGCACTAAGAATGAGCGCTCAATGTCTACCTTCAAGAAGCACGCAGTGCGTGCGTTACAATATACAACTAATGGTAGCAAATTCGTTGTGCAAGGAATAATACTTGTGGGGATTGTGCTGCTTGGGTACGCCTCTGAAAACTTTTGTCGAGGGTTTAAAAACCGATTTGCCCCGATTATGTTTCAAAGTTTGTCAGCACCGGGGTTTCACCAATGCGGTAATGGCTTCATATTTAAGTCACTTCGAGCTTTCGCACCACCTAACGAAATAACTGTAACATATATAGTTGAACAGTTACATGACTAACCGTGAGTACTGTTCAAAGAGGCGTCAAACCAAATTCACTCACTCATTCGTAATTAATCGCTATTTGGAAGCATTACTTTATGAACAGAAGACAAATGCTATTGAAATGAGAAATTTGACTTACTTTTTACGTAACAAACTGACGCATTAAAGCCAGTTTTCACAAAATACCGTAATTATTTTGAAAAATATTTTGATTGTGACTAACAATACCATGAGTGAAAAATGATCCCAAAGCACGAGGTGTGTAGTTTCTTTTGGTCGTCAGTATATTATCAAATCATTGAGTGAGAAATCTTGAATAAATAGTATATTATGACAGAGCGATTTCAGGCTTTGTCAATGCCCACTGATCAAGAATAATAATGCAGTCTAACAAACCCCAATAGAAGGTCGTGTCAGCTAACCTTTTGAATTGACCAATCAGAACACAGCTACCAAATCGCGAAAGTTCGCACGCATGCCGTTTGAACTTTTACCTCGATAACGTTTGTACTCGAACGATTCTTAATGCTATTTTCCTGAAGCCTGTGAGTGATAATGTGAGCACCGAGCCAAGGTAGCAGTTACCTCCGATATCGACGTCGTGACATTGGAGTCGGTGTCGTTGACCATGCAAACGATGGCGACGCTGAGGTTGGCACGTGCAGCGTACAGAATGCTGCCCCCGAGCAAACCAACGTACGATAGCAGCCATCGTTGTGAGAACATGCACGACACTACAAAGGAAGACAAACACAAGTGAAGCTTCTGGAGGAAAAGGGTACAATTACAATATACACGTGCCAACATATAATGTTGATCAGGTAGCCTAGTGGTTAAAGTGTTCGCTCGTCACGCCGAAGACCGGGTTCGATTCAGCACATGGTTACAGTGTGTGAAGCCTATTTCTATTGTTCCCCGCCGTGATATTGCTGGGATATTGCTAAAAGCGGCGTATAACCATACTCACTCACTCTTGGTTTGATTCCCAATATATTATTATTATGTCACCAAATTATTCTATTTATGTCAGTGTGACGAAGTTGGCTGGACTTGACCTGACCATTGGGAGATTCCAAAAAGATATACTTTGAAATTTCCCATCTTACCTCTCGCGTTCGTCAAGATTGTCAGTGATCAAAAGATCTACTGTCATACTTTACTTCTGTAATGAGTTCCCAATTTGTTCATATTATTATATGACTATTACAAGAAGCTAATATCACTTACAGTTTGGGAATGTTTAAGTCATTTCCGAGTATCCCCTTCTTTGGACTTGAGAAGATTTCCAAATTCGACTCTTAATGTAACAAAAGTGTCGGATGCAAATGTCTGTTTCTACTTGTTCAATATGCTTCTGTCAAAAAAAACAAAATTTTGAAAAAATAACCTTTAATTTGTAAAGTTCAACTCATATTTTCTCATCAAATGTCCTTTCTATTAAAACTGACATTTGACCTGGCCAAAATAATTTTGCGATGAGCATATAGGTAACATTATTGTCCACAATTTTCAATCATGATCTGAGCATTCCAAAACTACTTTTTTTGATGAAAATCGGTCAATCCAAACCAGAGTTATCAAATTAAACCACCCAGCTGTCGGTTAAAATATTGCCACAACTGACATGACATGTTGCACCTTAAAAGGGCCTCTTCACGGTAGACGCGTACGGAAGCTGATGAAGCTGATTGTAAAAAAATCACATCCTATTCGGTCGCCAGAACTGCACCACATTTTCACCATTTTGGGGGTCTGGCTTCTATGCCACAATCGAGTCTGGACCTGACAATCCAGTGATCAACATCATAAGCATCGATCTACGTAATTGGGATACGATGACATGTGTCAACCAAGTCAGCGAGCCTGACCACCCGATCCCGTTAGTCCCCTTTTGCGACAAGCATGGGTTACTGAAGACCAATTCTAACCCTGATCTTCACAGGTCCCATCCCAGGGAGCTATGATGGTCATCTAAATATGATTTCGGAAGGAAGCACTGCTAAAAGGGAGATTACAATTGGATCACAATATTTAAATATGTACCAACATTTCGACACTGATGACAAAATAACGTTAAGAAGGTACTTGTTGCCGGGCGTTCAGCATTGGGCTATATAACAAGGATAGGTCTGTTCGCATTTAATATGTGTCTGAGCTAAGTTGGCATCTCACAGGGCAATTAGAACACGCGCGCGCACTCACACACACGCACTCACGCACACAACTTGAACGCAACGTTAATTTGAACATTTCGTCTGAAATCAAAAACACGATGACATGTATGTGTATATACGTTGTATATATTATACCTACATGAGAATGCTCCAGGAGATTTCTCATCTTTGGCTTCGGGCTTCTCCTCGCTCGACATCTTGTATGTAGTCACATAGTATGTACATGTAAGTGGCAAAGCAGGGCCAGATCACTGTGAGTCCCCCGTTCTGAGAACAAACACGCTACGCCTGCATGTCAACATCTCTAGATACAATGATGTTTAAGATAATGCACCTTGACATATGTATGACATATTCAGGGTAACCCGGCCTATATAAAATATATATGTTATCATAGACAACTGTTCTTTGAAATCTTAAGTGCATATGGTAAACAAATATAATGCTGCTTCACAAAAGAAATTTTGATGGTGTCTAAAGCTGTCTACCAACATGCTCAAGGGTACATTTCATCTTGCCTCGCTGTTTGATTTATCAGAAATCGAGTTTGATTCTGAAAACAATAGCTTAAGCCATGGTGTGATTTTTCGACAACAGAGTTTTAACACATACTTCATAAAGTAAAACTCATTGACCTTGGTCCGTTAATCAAGAAATACCCCATGGAGGAAAAGTACTGTTAGCTACATATACTCTCGAAAATAGTAAGGGATGTTTGAAACATACATGTCATGATCGGTCGTCTGAAAAAAGATCAGCTGCTTTGATAAATGACTTTCAACTTTTGAACACATCCCAGCACTGGACGTAGGACGTGACCCATGAAGATCCAGGTTAGAACTGCTCTTCACAGGCCATGCCTGTCCTAAGAGGCGACTAACGGGGTCGGGTGGTAAGGCTCGCTGACTTGGTTAACGCGTGTCATCGTATCCCAAATGCGTAAATCGATGCTCATGATGCTGATCACTGGATTGTCTGGTCCAGACTCGATTACTTACAGACCGCCGCCATTTAGCTGGGATATTGCTGAGTGAACAACAAACCAGCCAGCCAACCGACACTGGATGTATACTAGCCACATAAAGAAACTGTGCACACAGAAAATGCCTTCATAATTGGAATACAACACAGCAAACACAAAATGATGTAGACACGTTATAAGCTGAAGTATCTGACCACAAGAAAATGTCCAAAGAACATGAACAATATCCGTAACGATGACGTCAGAAGTTCAAAATCGAGTGGGGGATCACACGAAGAAGTCACAAAGTCAATAACGGGTATGACCACCGTGTGCGTGAAGCACAGCAGTGCATCGAAGACGCATAGAGACTAGCAAATGAGCATTGAAGGACTGGGGAATGGTCTGGGACGTGGTCACTGCTGTCTGGAACCTGTATCTGAGATGAGTCACCCGAATCCATCTGTCCTGTCTTGGCGTCGTTACGTCGGGAACGCCCAGAACGTGGGTGGTCGGCGACGTCATTACTGTTTCGATAACGCCTGACCCATGCAGATATCGTGTTACGATGGCATTGGAAATGTGCTGCCACCTGTTGTTGGCTTATTCCTGCTCGAACCATTCCATTGGCTTCATGACGTTGAGCAGATGTTAATCTTGGCATGAGGTGCATGTGACTTCTCATGTGAATTGGTGAACGTTTGAATGACCAAAGATCAAGCTTTCGACAGTGACAGCAGTTTCACATGTTGTGTGCATCTGTACGGGCTGCACGTGCAGTAACACATTGCAAGGCCTTAGGCCACCGTCAATGACGTCACGTCGCCGGGCACGTTCATGAGCGTTTGATTGTCTCCAATACTTGCTATGTTCACAAATGTATTTATGTATAAATACGCTGTGTGCCTATATTTATATTTTCTGTGTGCACAGTTTCTTTATGTGGCCAGTATAGATCACGTGGGTTGAGTGTCCTTTTTTGTTGACACTTCTGTAAAAGGTCATCAAATCGCTTTGGGCTTCAGAGGATTTTCATTATCAGCTAACAGGTAAGCTCTTTGTTTTCATGCCGTAATTGTGATGACACTGTAAATGTGTTGCAATGACAGATAGATAGATATACTTTGTTTCCTCCATAGCATATGAAGATAAATACAAGGTTTACAGGTACATTACAACAAGTAAATCAATATGGTATTATATGGATATACACATATGGTATTATGTGTATGGTATTTACACATGTCAGAAATTATACACATTCATAGAAATATCGTTTCCACAACTTAATAGTTCTGCATATTCGGCTTATGCACCTTGTCCATGTTTCATAGTCGAGGTCCTTCGTGCACTGAGTAGGGCGACCCCCCAAGTAGAAAACAGAGTAATATATCGTCATCATTATTCCAAAGGTTACTAAACGTTTCTACATCAAGAATGTCGATTAAATCTTCAGTTAGTCTGTCTCTTTCATACTGCGTTTCTTTACAATAAAGAAATACATGTTTAACAATGTCAAAGGCAAACGTACCACAGAGACATTCATGAGATTGAATTACGTAAGTACCGATGTGTAATAGAACTGCAATATCAAAGAAGCACAGATGCTTTTCTAAGGCAAGACACCACAACCTGCTCGGACAATTTTCATAGGTAAGGTTATACCGTGCTAGCGCTGCTCTTGTAGAAAGTTCTGAAATAATACATTTGGTGTCTGCTTCATGAATAGCTGTCTTAACCTGATGTGCCCATAGTTGTTTACTGGGAAATACAGAAGTTTCCAGGTACATATTTAAGTCATATATTCTATATTTTCTAACCAAAGCCAACATATGAAAGATGGGTGAGGTCTTACACTTTAGACGTAATGAAGGAGCGTCATCACACATGAACTGTGTAAATCTATAACAAAACATTTTCTTAAAGATAAAACTGATATCAGCACGTATTAATCTCCCGAGGAATATGAGGGTTTGCTGCTCTATGTATGGCTGCATAGAAATGAGTCCCAAACAGCTTCTGGCAATAACTGAGCTGGATCGTTTGTATAGACCTTGAACCTTTTTGCAGAAATATTTTTGTACTAATTCCAGCATATCATATTCTTTGGGAGATAACTCACACCAAACATTACAACCATACAAGGCACATGGTAGAATTACATTTTGCCAAATGCGTACAGCATGTAAGGGATTAAGACCACCAAAGTACAAGCCATGATTATGATTAACATTTACAATGAGTCGCAGTTTTTCACATACCTGGAGAGTGCGAGCAGAGGATGATCTTGATGTACAGACGTTCACACACCGGCATAAACAACACTTGTTTTCACAGGGATGTTGTTTCTGCCAATGTAGACGTCTGGAAAGCACCGTTGCAAATGCTGTTAAAAACAATAATTGCACTTTTGCATGCGTTGAACTTGAGATGCCACCTGTTTGCATAATCATATAGAATGTTCAAGAGAGACTGAGTCCCTTCAGTAGTACAGCTAAGCAGTGTGGTGTCATCAGCTAGAAGAATACCTGGTGTATTACCCCAAGGAGACAGAGTCCATAGTTTGAGTGACTGAGTTCATGCAACAAATCATTAATATAAAGCGTAAACATCCAGGCTGATAAAACACGACCCTGGCCAACACCCTGTCTTACATGGAAGATGTGGGATGAGTGGCCATTACACTTAACGTAAGATTGCATGGATGAACACATAATATAGAGAAGACGCCATAGTTTTCCGGTTATTCCAAAATGATGTAGTTTATAAAACAATCCATTAAGCCAAACTCTATCAAAAGCCTTTTCGTTGTCCATAAACGTACAATACACTGTAGAGTCTCTTTCCGTATAGTAAGAGATACTTTCACGTAACACAAGCGCAGCAATCTCTGCACCAGCTCCCTTCTTAAATCCAAATTGAAAGGGGTGTGGAAAGCCTTTGTATTCTTTTGCCCACTTTTCAATTCTACACAGCAGAAGCCTTTCAAATAATTTACCAATGACAGAAGTAAGCGTAATCCTCTATAATTAGAGGGATTATCCTTACTTTTACCATGGCCTTTATGTACTGGTAAAATGCTACCAATATTAAACATCTGAGGAACATATTCATGTGAAACAATAGCATTATACAACGTAAGGATATGGGGAAATAGCGATCTTCCCGCACGTTTAACATGTTCATTAAAGATGCCATCTGGTCCAGGAGATTTACCACATTTTAAACGTTTAATAGATACAGACAGTTCATCATTGTTGAAGGGCACAGTAATAGTGGATTTACATCTTTGTGAAAAATAACGATGGTCTTCTGGGATGACAAGATATCACCAACAAAATTATTTACATGCTCAGTGAAAGATACATCAAATGATTCATCATGATATGGTTGCGATAGGTCGTTAAAGTACTGGCCAAACAGATTACATATATCTTCCTGTGTGTCGCAGGAGTCACCATTGTAATATAAAACTCGTATATGATCTTTATTGCGTTTGTTACGCTTTGTAACTCTGAGATATTCTTGTATGTCAACTTCAGCAGCTTCATATATATCTTGAAATTTATCATTTTTGAATTTGCTTTTGGAGTGACGATGTTGCTTTCTAAAGATACGCTTCGCTTGTTTATATTTTACATAATATACATCGTCACGCCGAAGACCCGGGTTCGAATACCCACATGGGTACAATGTGTGAAGCCCATTTCTGGTGTCCCCCGCCGTGATGTTGCTGGAATATTGCTAGGAGCGGCGTAAAACCAAACTCAGTCAGTGTATTCACAAAGCTTTCAAGGTGGCTGTTGTCGTACGTTGACATTTTCGGGACTACTTGCTGTACATCGCCCGTGCCAGCCTCAGCGTCAGCACGGTGTTCAGTGGTCAACTACTCCAACACCAATACCACGAGGTCGATGTCGGAGGTAACTCATCACATTGGCACAGAATTACCAAAATTAATATGGTGTTGGAAGCCTTCACATATTACCATCTTAATACTTGTTCAACCATTTCATTACATTTCAACCTTTTGTACAGGAACTATATAACCTGGTTGTCTCGTGTTGCAAGTTCTGCAACAATGTCCTTACGTCTTTAGTGTTGCGAGGGGGTTGGGTAGTCTAATGCTTAAAGCGTCCGCTCGTCAAGACCTGGGTTCGAATCCCCACACAGGTTCAATTTGTGAAGCCCATTTCTGGTGTCCCCCCTGCCGTGATATTGCTGAACTATTGCTAAAAGCGGTGTAAAACCTCACTCACTCACAAACCTGAACTATGACCTCGCGTTTTTAGAGTTCTTCTGGATTTATCATGACAAGACAGTGCAGGCTAGTTCTCAA